TAACACAGCGGTGTCCTGACTTATGACCCTGTGTTTTAAGGAAGAACATTTATTTATTCACAATACATTATTCATTCACAAAGAAAATTGGTGTCCTTAAAGGTTGGAGTTTTCCTATTTTTTTTTTTTAATTAAGGCATTAAGATCAATTTCCAAAAGATGATTTTTTTTATTCCTCTCTTTAGTCAGCTTTAGCATGTGTGTGTTCACTTATCCTAAGCACTGTACATACAATTTGGATTTCATACATTAATTTGTTATTCAAACAAAATCCTGTCATCCAGCATCTCCTCTCTTCCTCTTTCATCCTCATCACCAAAAATGTATGTGGAAAGATCAATACAGAACAAAGAACATAAAAAAAATGTAGGATGTTGGGAAATATCAATGTCTCTTCTGTTCACCAAATGCTTTTTAATCTTCACTATCGCTTCAATGCAAGTGAACAAGCGTTATTTGTTGTGTAGTGACGTGTCGTGTGTGTTCATGACTTACACAAATTTCCCCAGCAAACTGAGTAAACGCGCCGAATCAGCTCGTGATTTGACAGCGTTTCCCGCCACAGTTGAATTTTACCCGCATTTGTTGGGTTTGCGAGTGTTAATTTCAAACCCTGGTCACGATACACAGAACGGCCATGAACGTGTCTCACAGCTTCACATCGGGTTACGCTGCAGGTATTACTTCCCCTGTAATCGCTGGTTAGCGGTTGATGAAGATGATGGTCAAATTGCCCGAGAGCTGGTCCCTGTGGATGAGGCCTTCATGAGGAAGGACGAGGACGAGGAGGAGTCCGGGGCCACACTGGGATTGGAGCAGAAAGGTGAAAGAAATCATTTTTTGACTCTACTAGAACAGGTTTGCATGCATTATTTCCTCATATTCTCCATTGTTGCGGCTCCTCTCTTCCCAGTCTGTCAGTAACGCTCTGTTTACTTCCTGTCTCTATGAAGCCCCTCCTCCTGAAAGCACACTGTGCTCTGATTGGTCAGCTGGAGCAGTGTGTTGTGATTGGTCGAGCGCTTCGAGTGTGTTTGGGAAAGTCCCGCCCCTTAGCATAACCGCCAGTTTAACACACTACTAACTAACTCAACCAGGCCCCGCCCCTTTATTCTGTGCATTATAATGAGGAATATTGTGACGTGTTCATTCCAAGAAGAAAAATCAAGATATTTGTTTTGGAAAACTAGACAGAAATCATATTTATCAACTGCAAATGTAATTAACTGTGACCAGTTTTGTCTATCTGACAAAGTGATCATTATTTAATTTTTTATTTCTTCTCCGTATTTGTTGTTTGCAGCGATGTCAACAACATACACGCTGAGGATCAAGACAGGAGAGAAGAAACACGCAGGAACAGACGCCAATGTCTTTGCGATCCTGTATGGAGAGAATGACGACACAGGTGACGAAACACACACTTGTGTTTAATACTGAAACTGTTCTTCACACCGTCCGCTGATCATTCAAATGGCTTTTCTTGGTTTCTTCTCACAAAACGGGCATTGAATGAACAGGAATCATCAACCTGAAAGCCTCTAAATCACACAAAAACAAGTTTGAGAAGGGAATGATCGACGAGTTCACCGTGGAGGCCGTTGATCTCGGAGAACTCCACAAACTGAGAATCGGCCATGATGAAGCAGGTGAGTGACGTGATGCTGCGTTCATGGCATGTCGGGAAGATCATGTTTACGAGGTGATCGCACACGAACTCCACCACAAAGTCGGAAATACCAGTGGGAAGCTTGGGGTTTACGAGTTTACAAGGGTTAGTGAGAAACGTGTGTTGTAATGTAATTTGTTAAAAACCTACAACAAAATAAACTAATTGCCTGCACAAAATATAATAGCAGTGCATCAATATAATATGTAACGATAAAGTTTGCAGTGGCTTCACAAGTTAATTAAAACATAAAAAAGTAAAACACACCTGACGCACATTCTTTGTTCTTCATTTTCTAGAAGAAGAGTTGGAAAAACTTGTGTAGTTATTAAAAGAAGTCGTATTACGCCCTTTTACGAAGTCTTGATTTTGTTTTGGGGTGTACTAGAACATGTTTTCATGCTTGATTGTTTCAAAAAACACATTATATTTCACATATTTTACATTATTACAGCTCCTCTCTCCCCAGTCTGGTTGAACGCGTCATTTTCGCTGAAGCTCCTCCTTCCGAAGTACGAAATGTGCTGTGATTGGTTAGCTGGCCCAGTGTGTTGTGATTGACAGCGCTTAGCGTGTGTTCGGGAAATGTCCCGCCCCTTCATAACTGCGAGCTCTACTCAGATGTAAATATTAAGGATGCCGTCAATTTCAAAACATTTCAAGCCCGATTCAGACCCTGACGATGTTTACAAACAAGAGGATCGTGCTGAACGGATTTCAAGCACGGATTTCACAGGACGTTTCAGAGTGGTATGTTTTTATGTAATTTTCTTATAGAAATATCAAATATTTCTTCTCTAATGCTATCCACCATTTAATCATATTTCTCGGAAAACTACAAAAGCGAGAGCTTACAAAAGCATGTCGGAAAGATCATGTTTATGAGGTGATCGCACACGAACTCCACCACAAAGTCGGAAATACCAGTGGGAAGCTTGGGGTTTACGAGTTTACAAGGGTTAGTGAGAAACGTGTGTTACTTGTAGGTTTTTAACAAATTACATTCTCAGGCTTTTTTATTTACAACAAAATAAACTAATTAAACAAAGTCCAATATAAGAGAGCGCATCTAAAGGAGAAGTATCCAGTCAAGGTGCTCTATGGTCTAGGGTTTTTTAGTTTTTAGTAGTCCATCGAAGAAAACTTTAGGATGACCATGGCACTCTGTAAAAGTAAAAAGCCTTTATTATCAGATGGCTACATACAAAAAATCTAAAAACTCTCCAACGCAATTCGGCCCATGCCTTCCTCGGGGAGAGCAACACAACAATCTCATTAACATTCATTAAGATCGGATTAGTTAACAGTTGTCATGTGATCAACTTCTCTTTACAGCATTAAACATTCACCAATACCATCAGTGGTATGTTTTTTTATATAATTTTCTTATAGAAATATAAGAAAGATATAGAAATATATCAAATATTTCTTCTCTATTGCTATCCACCATTTAATCATATTTGTCGGAAAACTATGGTAATACAAACAGTAATCACAAAATCATGGTTCATTTTCCATTTAATTTTCCATTAAAGGGCCGGTGAACCGTCTTACAAAAGCAAAAGCTCCAGTAAACACTACATCAATACTGTAATGTTAGTTAGCAGGCGAGCGGAGGCAAAGCTGTGCCCTTCGTTTACATCAGCAACTACATAAAGCTTATCATTGGAACTGTTAATAGAAAACACAACTACAATTAATAAGACATACTTACAAGTTGTGATCCATAAACAACAGATTGTCCCGACATAATGTGAACGGCTCCGTCTCTCAGGAGAAGCTTTTGTGTGTATAGCCTGCATATACTCTCTTCTGGAAGCTGTTCTCTGTAAAATGTGCAGCGCACAGACAAACTTTGAGGTCATAATCTTCAGGAACAGTGTTCAAAATATATTTTAACACTTTTTCCGGGGTGTAAAAACAGCGACAGCAACTCTTCCTCTTCTCTAAAGCAGGCCAACATGGCCTCAGCTCTGTGTTGGTGTTCCCGGGGGCGGGGTTTATGTAAATGTTAGGGTTTGTGATGTCACCAACCCAGGAAGAAGCTTGTTGTAGTTCCTATCAGCCGTTTGTTGTAGTCCTTAAAAGAGCTATTTCTGTAAAAGAAAATCTCCCTTTGCTTTGAACTTTGAGCGTCGTAACTTTGCAGATGTTGTTTATGCTCAAACGGCAACATTACACATTAACTAAAGTTAAAAAAGTGAAATCATAATCAAGGACCCCTTTAAGAGAAGGTGCTCGGCCATCTTGCTCCGACTTCCCAACTCGTAAATACGAACCTCCCAGCAGGACTTGACAGTGACAGCTGGGATTGAACCAGACAGGATTCGCTCGGCTGCTTGCGAACCGTTAGTTTGCCTGGCAACTTTACAGAAACGCTCCTAATGGCCACTGTTGTTCTTGTTGTACATCATCAACACACAGGGAATACATCACAAATTAACCTCTAACGTTCCTAGACAACAGTGAGGAGAAATTGAGATCAAATTATAATATTATAAAGATATTATATGAAATATAATGTGTATGTACCCGGTATTTTTGCACTGACTGGTCTTCCATTTGCATCTTAAATGCACTTTAACAAATGTCAAGTCAAGTCATCTTCATTTATACAGCGTTTTTTACAACACAGTGTTTCAGAGCAGCTTTACAGAGATAACAGGAGAATAATGCAACAAAGTTTGTGTCTAGAAGAGAATAGTGTCACAGTCCAGCTTAAGTCAGTTCAGTGATGCTTCATTTTTGTTGTAAAAAAGTTATTAATTTAGTTAATATATATATATAGCCGCTCTGGAGAAAACCGTGATGTCATCGTCCAGCTCAGCTCAGTTTTTATAATAATGGTGTCAATGCAGGAGATCAATAATATTTTTTTAACATGTAAGCAATAAGATACGAGAGGCTAACCCTAACCTGCCTCGAGTACCTTATTGCTTTTATAAAACGGTTATCACACAATATTAAAGTAAAAATAAAAAATGTATTAGTGCAACTTTCATGAAGTTGAATCAATAAAAGCATTCCTTCCGCTAGAAAAAAATAGTCCCTGACCGTTAAACAACGTTCCAATGTGTAATATGCATGAAAGCTCAAATAAAAACAATAAACCGTTCTCAAACTTTGTCTCATTCTTTTTATTTTTTACAACATAATATTTGTGAAATTTCCTCACGCAATATACACAGGAACGTAATGACTGTAAATACTATGCAACCTATACAAATAACCTACAGACTCTTCAAGTTTTATAATATTAAATGCATTTGATCTGATTCAGCAGTGGTATAAAAGGTAAGCATTATGTGAATGCTTGGCTAAAGAGATGCGTCTTTAATCTAGTTTTGAACTGGGACAGCGAGTCTGAGCAACGAACAGTATCAGGAAGGCTATTCCAGAGTCTAGGAGCTAAATGTGAGAACGCCCTCCCTCCTTTAGTGGACTTAGATATCCTAGGAATGACCAGAAGCCTCGAATTTAGTGATCTTAAAGAACGCGATGGATTGTAGGGCGATAGAAGGTCCATTAAATACACAGGAGCTAAACCATTTAGGGCTTTATAGGTCAGTAATAGTACTTTGTAATTGATACGGAACTTGATAGGTAACCAGTGTAGAGATGATAAAATTGGTGTTATATGATCCAGTGTTTCCCCTACCATTGTTTTGGGGGGGCGCCACGCCCCCCCAAAACCACCCCCGCCCCCCCTAAAATGCTGACGAAATCCAGTCATAAAAAAGTATTTTAGTGTATAACGCGGAATTTTTACGAAATTTGTAAATTTGAGGAAAAAATAGAAAGCAGTTCAGTACACTTGAAATCAAATCGCGATGTAGACTAGTGTGTGTGAATATTAAAACACAAAGACAATTTAAATACGAATCCTGCATGTTCTGTGTGAATGAATGGTGCCGCCGACGCGCAGTTTCATTTACACACACACACACACACACACACACACACACACACACACACACACACACACACACACACACACACACACACTGAAGCACGTGTGACGCTTGCGCTGTTTTTTGGCCTATATGAAGACACAAATGCATGAACTTCCTCTCCAGGCTCTAGATCCACTCTGAAAGTCACTTCGTGATCATTTCACCGCTTCATTTGAGAAAAACTATCATCATGACATAAACACACAGAAACTCAAAAGGTCTTCACGGCAACCCGTCAAAATAAAAGTTCGGTTTAACTTGACAGAAATATATTACTGTTGTACATTAGAATTTAGGTATGTCCCAATGTAATAATACACTAACACTAATCCAAATAAATTATCATCAAAACAAAAATGAAAATTTTAAGGAATAATCCATGTTTTAATTTTAACAGTAGGCTAAAGCTCATTGTGCAGCAAGTTATTTGACAAAAAGTTTATTTAATTTCATATGATAAATGCTAAAATTTGTGTTTTATGTCTTCATTTTATTACCAGAAAAAACACAACACAGAATTAGTGTGAATTTTTTTCATATATTAAAAAAATAATAATTGTATAAGTTTAATGATTCATAATACATGATTTCAATTAATAAAAATAAAACAATTACACCACGTATCCGTAACACGCCCGCTCCGCAACACTAGCAGTCCCCCCCCCCCCCCCCCCCCCCCGAAACAAAATCCTAGGGGAAACACTGTGATCATATTTTCTTGACCTAGTAAGAACTCTAGCGGCTGCATTTTGCACTAACTGAAGCTTGTTTATTGAGGATGCAGGACAACCAGCTAATAAAGCATTACAGTAATCTAGTCTCGAGGTCATGAATGCATGAACTAACTTTTCTGCATCAGAGACAGATAGCATGTTACGTAGCTTTGTAATGTTTCTAAGGTGGAAAAAGGCAGTTTTTGTAACATATGAAATATGATTTTCGAAAGACAAGTTGCGGTCTAGTATAACACCCAGGTCTTTTACCGTAGAGGATAAAGTAACAGGACATCCTTCTATATTAAAGTTGTATTGTAAGTGGTTTTGTGGGTAGTTTTTTGGTCCAATAAGTAATACCTCCGTTTTATCTGGATTTAGTAGCAGGAAATTACACGTCATCCAGCATTTTATATCTTTAAGACATTCTGTCAATTTAGATAAGTTAGTGTTTTCATCTGGTCGTGATGAAATATATAATTGAGTGTCATCAGCATAGCAGTGGAAATTAATTCCATGTTTTCTTATAATATTACCAAGTGGCAGCATATATATTGAGAATAGCAGAGGGCCTAACACCGATCCTTGCGGCACTCCATAGTCTACTGACGTTATCTTCGATTTTTCCCCATTTAAACAGACAAAATGGTAACAGTCCGATAAGTACGATCTGAACCAGCTTAATGCCTGTCCCTGAACACCAGTGTAGATTTGTAGTCGATCCAAGAGTATTTTATGATCGATAGTGTCGAACGCAGCGCTAAGATCGAGTAGAACTAGTATTGAGACACAGCCTTGGTCAGAAGCTAAAAGTAAATCATTTGTAATTTTAACTAGCGCAGTTTCTGTGCTATGATGCGGTCTGAATCCTGACTGAAATTTTTCATATATCTCATTTTCTTGCAAGAAAGAGCACAATTGAGCGGACACAATTTTTTCTAGTATTTTAGACATAAATGGAAGATTTGAAATGGGTCTGTAATTTGCTAAGTTATTTGGATCTAATTGCGGTTTCTTAATGAGAGGTTTTATTACTGCCAGCTTGAATATTTTTGGAACATGACCTAAAGATAAAGACGAGTTAATAATATTAAGAAGAGGCTCTTCCACTACAGGTAACACTTCTTTCAGAAATTTAGTGGGTATTGGATCTAATAAACATGTTGTTGGTTTAGATGCAATGATAAGTTTATTTAGCTCTTCCTGTCCTACAGTTGTAAAGCGGTGTAGTTGTTCTTGAGGGGCCATAATTGAGGCTGAATCATAAGACACCATAGAGGATTGTACATTTACAATTGTGTTTTGGATGCTTTCTATTTTCTCATTGAATTAGTTCATAAAATCATTACAACTATACTGTAACGGAATATTTTGCTCTGGTGATGTCTGTTTATTTGTTAGTCTAGCCACAGTGTTAAATAAAAACCTTGGATTATTTTGGTTATTTTCTATTAGTTTGCGGAGATGCTCAGCCCTGGCTGCTTTTAGAGCCTTTTTATAACGTGGCATACTGTCTTTCCACGCGATTCTAAAGACCTCTAAATTAGTTTGTTTCCATTTACGCTCTAAGTTACGAGTTTCTCTCTTGATAACATGTGTAGTACTATTGTACCATGGTGCTTTAGTTTTCTCTCTAACCTTTTTCAATCTAATTGGTGCAACAATGTCTAATGTACTAGAGAAAATGGTGCTCAAACTGCTGGTCATTTCCTCCAGTTCATCTGTTTGTTTGGGTTCACTGGGCAGCTGAGATAGATCAGGTAAGCTATTTGAGAATCTATCTATAGTGATTGGAAGGATTGTTCTGCCTGGTCGATAACGCGGCGCAACATGACAAATTTCAGCAGTGCGTAGTATGCAAGTTACCATGTAATGATCAGTGAGATCGTCACTTTGCGGTATAATATCTATATCGGTTGGATTGGTTCCGTATGATATAATTAAATCTAGTGTATGATTTAGACGATGAGTGGGACCACTGACGTTTTGCTTGACCCCCAAAGGAGTTTAATAAATCTGTAAACACAGTCCCTAACGCATCATTTGTGTTATCTACGTGTATGTTAAAATCTCCAAAGATTATTGCTTTATCGGTATTGACCAATAGATCTGAGAGAAAGTCTGCAAACTCTTTTAGGAAATCAGTGTAGGGCCCTGGCGGTCTATATACAGTAGCCAAGGCTAGAGATAATAGGGATTTCTTTCTTACATCTAAGAGTGTAACATTTAGCACAAGTACTTCAAACGAATTAAACCTGTGACCTGTTTCCTGAGTAACATTAAGGATATCTCTATAGATTGTTGCAACACCGCCGCCACGACCGATCAGACGGGGCTCATGCTTATAACAGTATCCTGGCGGGGTAGACTCATTTAGACCGAAATACTCGTTTGGTTTAAGCCAGGTTTCAGTAAGGCAAAGTAAATCGAAGCTATTATCTGTGACCATTTCATTTACAATAACCGCCTTAGGTGTGAGCGATCTAATGTTTAGAAGATAATTTTGATAGATACAAATTCATATTTGTAGAAGTCTCTCCAAATTGTTCCTCAAACCAATGATCCATCGTCATGCCACCTAGTAAATCGAAATTTACTTTAAACATTTTAGCCTTTTTAATTCTTACGTTCTTTTTTCTATGTTTATGTTGATACGTGTGGTTGCTAAGGGTGTTGCTAAGGCGTTGCTAAGGGCGCAGTGATAAACGGAACCGGTGGGTGAAGCGGTCACAGCCGTGTTTTATCGTGAATAAAGCACAGCTATTGACCAATCAGAATCAAGGATTGGAACTAACTGTTTTATAAATCAAATTTAATGATATAATGCTTATATATATACATATGACTTTTTGCACTTCTGGCTAAAGCATGACTGGAGTATCCAGGTAACATGCCGGCCGGTATCCGGATGTGTGTGTGTTTTAGGAGGCTCGGCGGGCTGGTTCCTGGACTGGGTGGAGATTGACGCTCCTTCTCAAGGACAGAGACTTCGGTTCCCATGCGGGCGCTGGCTGGACCGAGGAGAAGACGACGGAGCCATCGTCCGAGACCTGTATCCCGCCGAGCTGCAGACTGAGCTTTACACGCCATGTAAGAGACGAGAAGGAGATTCATTCATTCGTCCTTTGCTTCCATTAACACTGTTTAGCTGTTTTTGAAACTCGGGGTGTAACGAGACCCTCATGTCATAGTTCGATACATATCACCATACTGAACTCACAATACGATATTTTTGTGATACTCCAAGACATATGATACAAAGGTTAACAAAAAATTAACTGTTGATTAAAATGCTAAGTTTGGTATTACATTGTGTGTGGAAATAAATAGGTTTGGACTTGGTGCTGAAACCCAATACACAGGACAATAGAGACACCAGAATACCAATATTCATGATTCTGAAGCTGAAAACAGAATTATTCCCATACACATTATATTCAACATTATATATAGTAGTTTATTGTAGTACCGACACTAAAACTCTGTAAACTTGAATTTTGTCTCACAGTAATTTTTATTTTGGGTAAACTATCCATGATTCTGGTGAAACTCGAAAAATTTGAATATTGTGCAAAAGTTCATTTATTTCAGTAATTCAACTTAAAAGCTGACACTAATATATTATATAGACTCATTACATGCAAAGTGAGATATTTCAAGCCTTTATTTGTTATAATTTTGATGATTATGAAAACCCCAAATTCAAAATTAGAATATTGTGAAAAGGTTTTCATATCTGTAAGCCATAATCATCACAATTATAACAAATAAAGGCTTGAAATATCTCACTTTGGATGTAATGAGTCTATATAATATATTAGTTTCAGCTTTTAAGTTGAATTACTGAAATAAATTAACTTTTGCACCATATTCAAATTTTTCCAGTTTCACCTTTACATATTGTTGCATTTTTGTATTGCGATATATTGTGACACAATATATTGTTACACCCTTATTAGAAACAGATGCATTGCGAAAAATTACTTTCTTCTAGGGTTGGGTATCGTTTGAATTTTAACGATTCCTAAATTCGATTCCAATATGGTTATTAAAACTCTAAGATATCATTCACATTTAGTCTTATTGCAAAACAGTCAATTGTATCTGAATATCATGAACAAAAATTAATAGGCTAAAAACACTTTTGCCTGTGGTTTAAAAACACCATAGAAGAAAAACTAGCCAAAGTAAACACTCAGTAATTAAAAAAGAACAAATAAAAAGTTAGCAATCGCAACAAATAAATACAGCTGAACAAATATACGATTGAAATTAACAGTGTTTTAAGATTTTCAGGTGTTCAGGTTCAGAAACTGTAATCACATGAAAAAATAACACTGCACTTTATAAATAAAATATACATTACAAATATAGTTACACAAGTTATTCAGTCAAGAACGAGTTCCTTTCTCTTTGTCTTTTGTTGTGTGATTAGTGTTATTATAGAGTCGGCGGCAGGAATATTAGTGCTGTCACTTTAAGAGCGGCACAGATCCAATACACTGATACACACACACACTTCAGCACTGAAAACAGTTGAATGGTTTAAAATAACATTAAAATCACATTTTCTGTGAGTCGTTTAGCGCTTGAATGGTTTAAAGTCATATTGAAATGCACACAAAGGAATCTTAATTTTAGAAATTTTAATTTTATAACAAGTATCCCATTCCTGACCTCAAGTATTGGATTCTAGAATTCTACCTCAGTGTTTCTGTCTTGTTTTCCAGCACAAATATCTAAACATTCTTAAATCAAGATACATTGAAAGTCTGAAAAATGAATAAATAGAATATGTGAATAAATTTGAATATGTGTTTTTGTTCACCTGTAGTCGTTCCCTATGAGATAACCACCTTCACGAGTGACGTCTTCGCCGCGGGGACGGACGCGAACGTCTTCATAGTCCTGTACGGTCAGAAGGGCCTGGCAACGCAGCAGAAGTACCTGTGCGTCAACAAGAGAGAGAGACGCTTGGCATTTGAGAGATCAGCAGAAGACATGTTCATAGTGGAGGTGAGCGTCTACCATCAGTGTTAAAGTTGAGCTGGTCTTTCTTCCCTATTGTGCTGTATATCCGAGTGAAACGCTTCTGGAACAAGAACTAATGTGGGCGGGGCTTGACTTTGACTGTGGGGAATTGATTGGATGGTTGTGGTTTGCTATTGGTGGATCTCATGTGAGTGACAGGTTGCCCCGCCCACATCATCAGAGGAGAGAAGAGATGCTGCAAGAGGTTATAGCCGCGCTCAGTTATTCTGATTCAAGATTACCAGGAACATGAATTTAACACAATAATTATGATGTGCACGGATAAATAATTTATAGTAAATTCCAGTAATATACCATAAATACCACCCTGAGCACCCTACTGCATACCAACACCTTAGCAACCACATAGCAACACCCTAGCAACAACCCCAGTACCCTAACAAACGCATAGCAACACTCTAGCAACCACTCACCTAGCAACTACTCAGAATACCCTAGCAACCACATAGCAACACCATAGAAAGCACCCAGAGCACCTTACTAAACACATAGCAACACCCTAGCAACCACCCTAGCATCTATCTATCTATCTATCAACTAAAACTACTTCAAACTTTTTGAATGCTTTCTCAAGCCAACTTAAAGCTTGTCTACACACTTTTTTGTATCTAGTTGTCCATTATGATTTGGTGGTGAGTTTAAGCCTCAGTCGGTGTTGTTCTGTGTCTCTCTGCGAAGCTGGAAGACATTGGAGACATCATCGAGAAGATCCGCATCGGACACGATAACAAAGGGACGAACCCCGGCTGGCATCTGGACAGAGTGGAAATCAGAAGACTTTTAAGAAAAGGAAAGGTAACTTAAGTTCGGCTATGCTTCCACCCACCTATTTTCATGCACATTTTGGGACATCGCTGGATGGAAACGCTCATAAATGTGCATTAAAAACATATTGAGGTGGATCATTGTTTAATCCGATAAGAAGACGTGCACATAAACTCCGACGGAAACACATTTACTGAATAAATCCCTCGTTGCACAACAAAAACCTCAGCAGAGGCTGTGATTGGATAACTGGACTAACCAGCTGACCAATCGCATCGCAGCATCTCAAACGTTGGTTACTCTGTTACTTTAATTTCCTATTATCACTGTAAATCTGCTTTGGTACAAGCTATATTGTTAAAAGCGCTGTATAAATGAAGCTGACATGACTTGACTTTTATGATGGATAGATGCACTTTTATGATGGATAGATGCACTTTTATCATGGATAGATGCACTTTTTTATGATGGATAGATGCACTTTTATGATGGATAGACGCACTTTTATGATGGATAGATGCACTTTTATCATGGATAGATGCACTTTTATCATGGATAGATACACTTTTATCATGGATAGATGCACTTTTATCATGGATAGATGCACTTTTATGATGGATAGACGCACTTTTATGATGGATAGATGCACTTTTATCATGGATAGATGCACTTTTATCATGGATAGATGCACTTTTATCATGGATAGATGCACTTTTATCATGGATAGATGCACTTTTTTATGATGGATAGATGCACTTTTATGATGAATAGATGCACTTTTATGATGGATAGATGCACTTTTATCATGGATAGATGCACTTTTATCATGGATAGATGCACTTTTTTATGATGGATAGATGCACTTTTATGATGGATAGATGCACTTTTATGATGGATAGATGCACTTTTATGATGGATAGATGCACTTTTATCATGGATAGATGCACTTTTTTATGATGGATAGATGCACTTTTATGATGGATAGATGCACTTTTATGATGGATAGATGCACTTTTATGATGGATAGATGCACTTTTATCATGGATAGATGCACTTTTATGATGGATAGATGCACTTTTATGATGGATAGATGCACTTTTATCATGGATAGATGCACTTTTATCATGGATAGATGCACTTTTATCATGGATAGATGCACTTTTATCATGGATAGATGCACTTTTATCATGATGCACTTTTATCATGGATAGATGCACTTTTATCATGGATAGATGCACAAATGCACTTTTATCATGGATAGATGCACTTTTATCATGGATAGATGCACTTTTATGATGGATAGATGCACTTTTATCATGGATAGATGCACTTTTATCATGGATAGATGCACTTTTATCATGGATAGATGCACTTTTATGATGGATAGATGCACTTTTATCATGGATAGATGCACTTTTATCATGGATAGATGCACTTTTATCATGGATAGATGTACTTCTATCATGGATAGATGCACTTTTATCATGGATAGATGCACTTTTATCATGGATAGATGCACTTTTATCATGGATAGATGCACTTTTATCATGGATATATGCACTTTTATGATGGATAGATGCACTTTTATTATGGATAGATCCACTTTTTTATGATGGATAGATGTACTTTTTTCATGGATAGATGCACTTTTATCATGGATAGATGCACTTTTATCATGAATAGAGACACTTTTATCATGGATAGATCCACTTTTATCATGGATAGATGCACTTTTTTATGATGGATAGATGCACTTTTATGATGGATAGATGCACTTTTATCATGGATAGATGCACTTTTATCATGGATAGATGCACTTTTATCATGGATAGATGCACTTTTATGATGGATAGATGCACTTTTATCATGGATAGATGCACTTTTATCATGGATAGATGCACTTTTATCATGGATAGATGCACTTTTATCATGGATAGATGCACTTTTATCATGGATAGATGCACTTTTATCATGGATAGATGCACTTTTATCATGGATAGATGCACTTTTATGATGGATAGATGTACTTTTATCATGGATAGATGCACTTTTATCATGGATAGATGTACTTCTATCATGGATAGATGCACTTTTATCATGGATAGATGCACTTTTATCATGGATAGATGCACTTTTATGATGGATAGATGCACTTTTATGATGGATAGATGCACTTTTATGATGGATAGATGCACTTTTATCATGGATAGATCCACTTTTTTATGATGGATAGATGCACTTTTTCATGGATAGATGCACTTTTATGATGGATAGATGCACTTTTATCATGAATAGAGACACTTTTATCATGGATAGATGCACTTTTATCATGGATAGATGCACTTTTATGGACTTAAAAAAAGAAACCGCAATTCACTGTCATTATAAAGCTTGGAAGAGCCAGGACATTTATAATATTATAGAAGAAGATTGTCATATATTCTATTCTAAAAATGTTATTTTTGGGTGAACTATCCCTTTAAGATTAACAGATTAGATCTATCAGTATTAGAGAAGACCAGCGTTGTGAGCGGTGTGTTTGTCCAGGGTTCGGAGACAACCATCTTCCCCTGCGAGCGCTGGCTGGCCCGGTCCGAGGATGATGGGGAGACGGTGAGAGAGCTGGTGCCGTCGGACATCATCACGGAGAAGCTTCTGAGAGACGGCACGCTCAAACACAGCGAGATCGAGGTGGAGGACGCTCTCGAGAGTACGTCATCGCTGACACTTTACTGCCTGCTCTCACTACTTCACACTAGTTTTAATCAAGCAAGTGAAGCCAAAGAGTCTTGATCGCCCCCTAGTGGCTGGTTCCAGTATAAGTCACAACCCCCGCCCTCCCCATGTAGTCTAATGGAACGCGATGGAAACTAAACAATCAAATTACACTTCAAATAAGTTTTTTCCAAAGATGTTTTCTGTCATTTTAGGTAGTTTTTATCATGCTGGTTTAAGTTTTTTTTAAATAAGCTTGGTCATAGTTAGTTATTAGATTCTATAAAAAACGGGAATGTGACGTCATGATTGACAGCTGTGATTGACAGCTTCTCTTAACGAAGTAGTCCCTGAGGCGGAGTTACTTTTTGGGGGGTTTTCGGGATTAGATTGGAGCTTCAACGTTAATTTCTAGATTTCCATAACTGTTTATTATTAGGAATAATATAATTATTATCTTTTTTTTACCATCTATGCTTTTAATGCATTAACTAACTATGAGTGATATCTTCTTACAGCATTTATTCAGCTTTGTTCATGTTTGTATATAAAAATGTTCATGTTCATGTTAGTTCATTAACTAATGTTAAGATACAAATTTGGATCTTAATAATTTATTGGTAAATGTTGAGATCGACATGAACTAATATTAATAAATGCTGTAGAAGTGTTGTTCATGTCAACTCCATTAATGTTAATAATGGAACCTTATTGTTAAGTATTACCATTTTATTAATATTAGCTTTTATTTTTATATTATTTTCAGTTTTCATTTTAATTTCAATTTGGTTTAGTGATTTTATGTTTTTCAGTTATTTATTTATTTATTTTATTTCATTTTCATGTTTTTCAGATTTTCATTGACTATTTATATTTCAGCCCTATTTCAATAAATTAAAAAAAATGTGTAGTTTCATTTTCTAATGTTTTTATTTTATAAGTTGTTTTTCATTGACTTTATATTTTACTTCAGCATTATTTCAACAAATGATAACAATTTTATTATTTTTAGTTGTATCATTAAATTGTTATTAAAAATTATTGAATATTTGTAGTTTGTAGTTTATCATTTAATATTTGTAGTTTCAATATTTATTTTTAAAGTTTTATTCATTATTTGTAGATTGTAGTTTCAATATTTATTTTTTAGGTTAAGTTTTATATTCAATATTTATATTTTATTTTAGCCTAATTTCAGTTTACAAAAACTATTTTAATAGGTTTAAAAGGCTCTTAATATCCAGTAATATTGATTTAATGCACTGACACTATCAGACGTGAACAAAACTTGAACATAATTGATTTTAATTATGACTGTATTGTTTCATAATTGATGAATAACAACATTACCATTGTTATTTTGTTGTTTATTACTGTGAAGGTGCTTTGAAACAATCTGTATTGTATAAAGCGCAGTAGAAAAAGACGTGAAGAAGAAAAAGTATATCAAAAATACCAAATTTTTGTTAACAAAAACACATTTTACAGGAAGACTCGTGTCAGAATTCACACGGTCAGACAGTTTCCCATCATATCGTAATATTGAGTGAGTCATCAGATGTTGTTCATCTGTAACACACCAGCGCTGATATGTGTGTGTGTGTGTGTGTGTGTGTGTGTGTGCGCCTCTCTCTTCAGCTCACACGTACACAGTAACGGTGAGGACGGGCGACATGTACGGCGCCGGAACCGATGCTAACGTCTTCCTGACGGTCTACGGGGATCTGGGAGACACCGGAGAACGAAAGCTCAGCAAGTCTGAGAGCAGCAGCAACAAGTTTGAGAGAGGAGCCGTGAGTCCTGGACCTTCACTGAACTCACAGTTATTATCTATAATGTGTTCGAGATGTTCTAGTCATACTGCGTCGTTGTGCTGGAGTCGATTGTTTTATTTGCGATAACAATGCAATGAAACATGACAGAATCCTTTTTGTCCGGACTGTCATACAAAGTAATTATGAACAGATCAATGCAGGGAACCAATGAAATATTAATAACTGATTATGTTGTGGTCAATGTTTGCTTTTTCCTGTCAGATTTATTTTTCATGTACTTTTTTTTGCACAGTAAAATAAAACCTGAAGCTGTTTGCCAAATAATGTTGTCAGATTAATACCTTAACCAAGTTTAGTGTTTTATTCTTTCCTCATATTTAAAATATTTAAAACATAATATATAAAATATGTTCTCATATTTTCATGGTTTAGTTGAACTTTTAGGGTCATTAAAAACAGATATTCCCACATAGCTTTTAGACACTACTGTGTATATGTGTACACACACGCAGACACACACACACACACACACACACTTACTGGAGAAGCAAAATGACCGAAGATATAAAGTTTGTGCTTAAAACAATAAAAAATATCTGCCAATGGAGTCAGAAAAATAATTCTGTTTTCACTTTGAATTAAGTTTATATTTCTGACTCCATTGGCAGATATTTGTTCTTGTTTTAACTCATTGTCCAAACTTAATATCTTCAGTCATTTTGCTTCTCCATCCAGTAAATGTATCTTGATTCAGATATTTGTGCTGGAAAACGAGACCGAAACACTGAGGAAGAACTGTTTTGCAGTGTGTTGAACATGTTTTAGAAGACTTTGATCCTCATGGCTCCAGACTCACACAGGTGTTTGTGTATAGGTGGATAAGTTTAGCATTGAGGCGGTGGATCTGGGTCTGGTGTTCAAGATCCGGATCCGGCACGACGACTCCGGGGCCGGGGCCGACTGGTACCTGGATCAGGTGGAGGTGGTGGACACGGACACGGACGAGGTTTACATGTTCCTGTGTGAACGCTGGCTCTCCGGGAAGAAGGAGGACAAGCGCATCGAGAGGACCTTCTTCATCAAGGTGTTATTATCATTCTTTATTAATCACACCGGGACCAGACACATTCATCACAAGCTCAGATTCTGATGGATTATTACCCACACTAACAAAACCACTAAAGTCTTACCGATTTTACCTGTTTTATTACCGTTTTTATATAAAAAATTGTTTTATTATTGGTTTATTAGCGTTTTATTGTATAGAAAGGTCCCATTAGTGGGCGTTAGTTAATGCATTAACATTAATGAATGATGATCAATACATTTATTTCAGTATTTTTATTAATCTTTGTAAACAGTAGTCAATAAAAATACAGCTACGACCACACACACGTACGAACACACACACGCATACGAACACACACGAACACACACACGCATACGAACACACATACGTACGAACACACACACGCATACGAACACACCCACACGAACACACACACACACGAACACACACACGCATACGAACACACCCACACGAACACACACACACGTACGAACACACACACCCACACGAACACACACACCCACACGAACACACACACACGTACGAACACACACACGTACGAACACACACACCCACACGAACACACACACACGTACGAACACACACACGCATACGAACACACACACACGCATACGAACACACATACGTACGAACACACACACGCATACGAACACACCCACACGAACACACACACACACGAACACACACACGCATACGAACACACACACACACACACACGAACACACACACACGAACACACACACGCATACGAACACACACACGCATACGAACACACCCACACGAACACACACACGAACACACACACGCATACGAACACACCCACACGAACACACACACGCATACGAACACACCCACACGAACACACACACGCATACGAACACACCCACACGAACACACACACACACGAACACACACACGCACACACACACACACGAACACACACACGCATACGAACACACCCACACGAACACACACACACACACACACGAACACACACACCCACACGAACACACACACACACGAACACACACACATACGAACACACATACGTACGAACACACACACACATACGAACACACGCGCATACGAACACACACACATACGAACACACACACACATACGAACACACACACACATACGAACACACACACATACGAACACACACACATACGAACACACACACACGAACACACACACATACGAACACACACACCCACACGAACACACACACACGTACGAACACACACACGCATACGAACACACACACACGCATACGAACACACATACGTACGAACACACACACGCATACGAACACACCCACACGAACACACACACACACGAACACACACACGCATACGAACACACACACACACACACACGAACACACACACACGAACACACACACGCATACGAACACACACACGCATACGAACACACCCACACGAACACACACACGAACACACACACGCATACGAACACACCCACACGAACACACACACGCATACGAACACACCCACACGAACACACACACGCATACGAACACACCCACACGAACACACACACACACGAACACACACACGCACACACACACACACGAACACACACACGCATACGAACACACCCACACGAACACACACACACACACACACGAACACACACACCCACACGAACACACACACACACGAACACACACACATACGAACACACATACGTACGAACACACACACACATACGAACACACGCGCATACGAACACACACACATACGAACACACACACACATACGAACACACACACACATACGAACACACACACATACGAACACACACACATACGAACACACACACACGAACACACACACATACGAACACACACACACACGACCACACACACATACGAACACACATACGTACGAACACACACACACATACGAACACACGCGCATACGAACACACACACATACGAACACACACACACATACGAACACACACACACATACAAACACACACACATACGAACACACACACATACGAACACACACACACGAACACACACACATACGAACACACACACACACGACCACACACACATGCATACAAACACACACACATACGAACATCCACAAGCATACGAACACACACTCATACGAACACACACACACGAACACACACACACATACGAACACACACGCATACGAACACACACACACATATGAACACACACACATACGAACACACACACATACGAACACACACACACGAACACACACACATACGAACACACACACACACGACCACACACACATGCATAAAAACACACACACATACGAACATCCACAAGCATACGAACACACACTCATACGAACACACACACACACACATACACACATACAAACACACACACACACACGAACATCCACGTGCATACGAACACACACACATACGAACATCCACAAGCATACGAACACACACTCATACGAACACACACACACACACATACAAACACACACACACACACGAACACACACACATACGAACACACACACATACGAACACACACACACGACCACACACACGAACACACACACGTACGAACACACACACGCATACAAACACACACACATACGAACACACACACATACGAACACACACACATACGAACACACACACACGAACACACACATACGAACACACACACACACACACGACCACACACACATGCATACAAACACACACACATACGAACATCCACAAGCATACGAACACACACTCATACGAACACACACACACGACCACACACACACATACGAACACACACACACGACCACACACACACACACGAACACACACACACATACGAACACACACACATACGAACACACATACGAACACACACACATACGAACACACACACATACGAACACACACACACACGACCACACACACATGCATACAAACACACACACATACGAACATCCACAAGCATATGAACACACACTCATACGAACACACACACACACACATACAAACACACACACACACACGAACATCCACGTGCATACGAACACACATCATTCTTAATTAATCACACCGAGACCAGACACATTCATCACAAGCTCAGATTCTGATGGATTATTACGCACACGTTTAAACGACAACGACGTGCTTAAAACGGAGAATTCTTTCCTTTGAGTTTTGCGCGTACAGACGACGCCATTGTCAAATGACACCATAATTAAAAAGAAATAATTAACAAAAGAAAAAGTCTCGGCCTTTACTTCATCCAAAACAAAGTCTTCATGGAGCCTCTGAGTGAAAATCTATATATTTTGTTGCTTTACACATGTAAACCCGTCTTTGACATCATCACTGTTGTGTATGCAGGACTACGAGGGCGAGAGGAACCCTCAGAACGTGAAGAAGAGCATGCAGAACTCCAAAGCTGGGCTGGACGGCAACATGAACAAGAAGAAGAAGAAGAAGAAGGCTGTGATCATGGACGAGGGTCCGAGTGAGTCTGGCGTCTCTGAAGTGCAACTCTCAAGGGCGTAGAATCGAGTAGGGATGCTAGAGACATGTCCCTAAAATACTCAGCGACACTGAACTGTGCTTAGCAATCATTTTGATAAATATATATCATATATACACACAGGTGAAATTCGAAAAATTAGAATATGGTGCAAAAGTTCATTTATTTCAGTAATTCAACTTAAAAGGTGAAACTAATATATTATATAGACTCATTACATGCAAAGTGAGATATTTCAAGCCTTTATTTGTTATAATTTTGATGATTATGGCTTATGAAACCCCCAATTTCAAAATTAGAATATTGTGAAAAGGTTTTCATATCTGTAAGCCATAATCATCACAATTATAACAAATAAAGGCTTGAAATATCTCACTTTGCATGTAATGAGTCTATATAATATATTAGTTTCTCCTTTTAAGTTGAATTACTCAAATAAATTATATAATGCACCATATTCTAATTTTTTGAGTTTCACCTGTACATATATTTATATATATATACAGGGTTTAAAATTAACTTTTTCTTTCACCGGCCAATTTGGCTACTGGATTTTTAAGTTACCGGCCATTCAGAACTTCTACTTCTACCGAACCTTTTTTTTCATAGCCATTTCATTCTTAACCAACGTAAGGTTGGAAAACGGAATAGAACTCAAGCGTTTGAGCAACCGAACACACACTCCAACCAACATTAAATTTAACATTTAATTTAATATTCAACAATATTATTGATCTCCTGCATTGACACTAATATACAAGAACTGAACTGAGCTGGACGATGACATCACGGTTTACTCCAGAGCGGCTATATATATATAAATGAACTAAATTAATAACTTTTTTTAAACAAAAATGAGCCATCACTGAACTTACTTAAGCCGGACTGACACTTTTTTCTTCTAGACACAAACTTTGCTGCATTATTCTCCTGTTATCTCTGCAAAGCTGCATTGAAATTGAAACACTCTGTATTGTATTGTATAAATGTGACTTGACTTGACCCATATTGCTGCGTGACGTGGTAGTGATGTCCGGTTCGTAAATGAATCGTTCGTTTGAACCGATTCTTTTTTCAAACCAGTTCACCAAATCGAACTGAATCGTTCAACACAGTTCGCGTCTTGAGTCAGCGCTGACCCACAGTTTTCTAAAGTGACTCGCTTTCGAACGCGACTGACTGTCCCTCCGACTCGAAATAAACCAATATCCCGGAGTATATGTTCCTCCAGTAACTCGGACAGTTCACTGAACTGAGACCTGTTGTGCTGAGAGAACTGATGAGCTCGAGCTGCTGATACTGAGCATGCGAGTACTACCAAACCTACAGGTACAGCCACGGTCTCTGTGGTCAGGTGGTGTTTAAAGCAAAGGGGGCGGAGCTTTAGATTCTAGAGGGTATTTTATTGGACAGAAGATGTGATGAGAAGCTGAATCCGCGGTGATGTCATATAAATCCCTGATCCATTTTAGCGGAAGTGAGAGACTGTAATGCTTATATCTCCTAAATACGAATCTTGTCATTGTTTTGGAAGCTTATTCATAACCTTAAGGCGAACTTATTCATACTCAAAGCTACTAAACTTACATTTTGATTTCAGGGGGCCTGTCAATCCTTAAATAAAGTTTTTTTTCTGTTTTTCTATCCCCACCAATGTCCAAATCAAACCAAATCCAAGTTGTGTAAAGGCTCCGCCCTCTTCTGAACGGAGGCGGAGCTGCAGCTCATTTGCATTTAAAGGGACACACACAAAAATGGTGCGTTTTTGCTCGCACCCAAAAAGGGGCAAATTTGACAAGCTGTAATAAATGATAAATAAAACGTTTTTTCTTCTGCTTTTATGTCCCCACCAATGTCCAAATGAAATCTTCCTCGTTGTCTCAGACGCTGTGTGTTGATGTTTCGGCAGTGATCCCGTACCACTTCACGGTGTCGACGGGAGCAGATCGCGACGCCAGCACCAGCAGTCGGGTCTACGTGATCATCCTGGGACCCAGCGATCTGGAGACGGAGCGGCTCTGGCTCGATCTGCCCGGCGGGAAGAAGTGCTTCGCCAGCGGAGGAATGGAGCATTTCATGAGCTACGGACTCGACGTGGGCGAGATCAAGAGAGTTGAGGTGAGACTCGCTCACAGTAGCGTTATTATGATGATCTTTATTGTGTCTAAGAGTCTCTTCTGTATCAAAAATACAGGAAAAACTGTCAAATATTATTGCAATGTAAAACAGCTGTTTACAAGTTATTTCTACAGCGCTTTATACAATACAGGTTGATTCAGAGCAGCTTAAACAGGAAAATAACAGCGTAGATGTTTCAAAATTCATCAGTTATAAAAAAAACTCAATTCTGTTCAATAACAGGTTCAATGTTTCAAAATTCATCAATTATGAAACAAATTCAGTTCAATAACAGCGTAGATGTTGCAAAATTCATCAATTATGAAACAAATTCTGTTCAATAACAGGGTCAATTTTGCTAAATTCATCAATTATGAAACAAATTCAATTCAGTTTAATAACAGGTTCAATGTTTCAAAATTCATCAATTATGAAACAAATTCAATTCTGTTCAATAACAGGTTCAATGTTTCAAAATTCATCAATTATAAAAACAAATTCAATTCAGTTAAAAAACAGGGTCAATTTTTCAAAATTCATCAATTATGAAACAAATTCAATTCTGTTCAATAACAGGTTCAGTGTTGAAAAGTTCATAAATTATGAAACAAATTCAATTAAGTTCAATAACAGGGTCAATGTTTCAAAATTCATCGATTATGAAACAAATTCAATTCTGTTCAATAACGGGTTCAATGTTGAAAAGTTCATAAATTATGAAACAAATTCAGTTTAATAACAGGTTTAATATTGAAAAATTCATAAATTATGAAACAATTCTATTCAATTCAATAACAGGTTCAATGTTTCAAAATTCATCAATTATGAAACAAATTCAATTCTGTTCAAAAACAGTTTCAATGTGTCAAAATTAATCAATTATGAAACTAATTCAATTCTGTTCAGTAACGGGTTCAATGTTTCAAAATTCATCAATTATGAAACAAATTCAATTCTGTTCAATAACAGGTTCAATGTTTCAAAATTCATCAATTATAAAAACAAATTCAATTCAGTTAAAAAACAGGGTCAATTTTTCAAAATTCATCAATTATGAAACAAATTCAATTCTGTTCAATAACGGGTTCAGTGTTGAAAAGTTCATAAATTATGAAACAAATTCAATTAAGTTCAATAACAGGGTCAATGTTTCAAAATTAATCAATTATGAAACAAATTCAATTCTGTTCAATAACAGGTTCAATGTTGAAAAGTTCATCAATTATGAAACAAATTCAGTTTAATAACTGGTTTAATATTGAAAAATTCATAAATTATGAAACAATTCTATTCAATTCAATAACAGGTTCAATGTTTCAAAATTCATCAATTATGAAACAAATTCAATTCTGTTCAAAAACAGTTTCAATGTGTCAAAATTCATCAATTATGAAACAAATTCAATTCAGCTCAATAACAGGATCAATGTTGCAAAATTCATAAATTATGAAAAATTCTGTAATAATTTATAATTATTATCAATGTTCATATTTCTGTGGTAACCGTCATGCATTTTATTTTAATAGAAAGTTCAAAAGAACACTGTTTATTTTAAATAGAATCTTTTGTCACTTTTGATCAATTGAATTGATGAATAAAAAAGTATTAATTTTTGTAAATAAACCCCAAACATCAGCTAGTGATCATGGCTGCAGAAATTCATCAAATGCTGCAGAAGAGCGTGTTTGAATGACCTGATTTACACCGTGAGCAAATAAAGGAGATTTGTTGGATCTGTCCGTGTTCCCGTTCCCAGCTGGGCCACAACGGAGCGACTCCGGAAAGCTGCTGGCTGGTGGATGAGCTCTCGGTGGCCGTTCCCACAAAAGGGATTCAGTACAACTTTCTGTGCAAGTGCTGGCTGGCCAAAGACAGAGGAGACGGTCTGACGGCCAGAGTCTTCAACATACTGGACGCCACAACCATCAGCATCATCCGAAAGGTTCAGCCGCTTGTGAAGTGTGTGTGACTCCCGGGGTCGCAAACACAGTTTCAGGAGTGACGACCGCATTTAAGTACGGAAGTTTAAATGATCGTTCCGTCTCGCTCCAGAAATTGGGATGATTGACACCGCTGTAACCATAGCAACGTCCTGGCATTCTGTGCTTTTGCCATGTGCTATTTTTGGTTCTACATCGTCTAAAAATTCTGCAATTTTAAGCTTGTTTCCGCCACAGAATAAAACGTTTTAGAAGATAATTGTGACTTTTTATCTCAGAATTGCGAGTTTATATCTGGCAATTCTCACTTTATAACATACAATTGATATAAAATCACAATTGCGTGTTATAAAGTCATAATTGCATGATATAAAATCGCAGTTCTGTGTTATAAAGTCAGAATTGCGTGATATAAAATCACAATTGCGTGTTATAAAGTCAGAATTGCGTGATATAAAATCGCAATTGCGTGTTATAAAGTTGTAATTGCATGATATAAAATCGCATTTGCGTGTTATTAAGTCGCAGTTGCGTGTTATAAAATCGCTATAAAGTCATAATTGCGTGACTGCAATTTTAACTAAAGAACTGTTGTTATGAGCCAAGTCCAAAACACTTATAATACAATCAAGTTTATAGAGTTATATAGAGCATTTTAATTTATTTTGGCTTATTATGGGCTTATTCTTTTTTGCTTTTTGTTTGTAGCAAGATCTGGCAACACAATTATTATCATTAATTAAAAATAAAACTATTAAAAACATTTCTGTTCATTTAATAAAAAGCTGAAATAACATAAAATATAAATATTAATCTATTTTAAACTGAAAAAAGTTTAAGTTGAAGCTCTAAAATTGTTAACTGGAAATAAATAAATGAAACTAAAACGAAAATAAAAATGATTTAAAAAATAATAAAATGTCAAAAGCACATAATTAAATTGAAATTAATTAACATGAAAACTAAAAATATAAAAATAAAAGCTATTTCTAAATATTAATAAAACAAACATTAAAATAACGTTTTTTTCTTGCACATTCACAAAAGCGTTTTAAATGCGTCATTAACTCTTTCCCTGCCAGATTTAAAGAAAGAAAAAAGTTGCTAGCGAGTGGCAACATTTTTTATCACTTTTATGGAATATTTTGTCGTATGAATATCTGAACATGCAATATACCAAAATAAAGAACAACAACAAAACATTATTCTAGCTTCATGCATTCTTTTTTATCAACACTTGAATGTGGTTTCATAAAAAAAACTTTTAGAACAAAAAGCTGAGAAGATTTTATTTTAGTCCAAGATTTCGTCCGGATGGGATTCAGAACGATGATCAAACACAGATGGAGTAGATCGACATTGCATTCAGTAACGCAGTTTTGATCAGGTTATTTTACTATCGCTTGTTTCTGCTCCTCCTTCACCTGTGTTTTGATCCGGATATTCTGCACTCATTCAGAAGATGCGTAACAGCGCCACCTACTGTATAACAGTGAAAACACGGATCGCCGGAAAATTCCGTCACTGGCGGGGAAACAGTTAACAGATAGTTGTTCAGATCGGTTCCATAAACAATGCATTTCATTTTTGTAAATTGTCACTTGCTGCATTTTTCAGGAGTTGATTCGCTTGTAGAATGTGGTCGTCATTCTGGTGAATGACTGAAGTGTGTGTGTGATCTGTTACGTCTCATGTTCTCGCTGTTGTTCAGGTGGTTTATGAAGTGACTGTCGTCACGGGTGACACTCAAAACGCAGGAACAGACACCAACATTTTCATAACTGTGTTCGGGGCCAATGGGAGCACGGAGGAGATGCTCCTTATGAAAAATGAGGACAGGTACCCATTCACCATCATCCAAATTACTAGTTCACACTGGAGAAAAACACACAAATCACAAGTTATTTCTACAGCACTTTATACAATACAGGTTGATTCAAAGCAGCTTTAATTTTGCAACATTTACGTTGTTTTTTTCCTGTTAATAAATTATGAAACAAATTCAATTCAGTTTAATAATAGTGTAAATGTTGAAAAGTTAATCAATTTATGAAACAAATTCAATTCATTGTAATATCAGTGTGAATGTTGCAAAATTAATCAATGAAACAAATTCAATTTAGTTCAATAACAGGTTCAGTGTTGCAAAATTCATCAATTATGAAAAATTCAATTCAGTTCAATAACAGTGTAAATGTTACAAAGTTCATCAATTATGAAAAATGTAATTCATTTCAAAATTCGTCAATTATGAAAAATTCAATTAAGTTCAATAAGTGTAATAAATGTTGCCAAATTCATCAATTATGAAACAAATTCACCTATAAAGCAACTCTATAGAAGACAATGGTGTCAAAATTCTGTTTAATTCAGTTCAATATTGTTTCAATTAATTCAATGTTGCTTCAGTTTAATTCAGTGACTGTCAATGTTGCAAAATTCATCTATTATGAACCATAATATTATTCCGATCAATTCAGTTAATGTTTTGTTTTCATCTGATCGTGTCAGTGCATCAAATTAATAATATTTCTGAATGTTAATTCGTTCTAAACACTTTTTTGTAAGCTCTTTAATTGTCTTTTTCAAACCTATGACAAACCCACATTACGTGCTTTTAAAGAGGACAAATTCAATTCTGTTCAATAACAGGTTCAATTTTGCAATATTCATCGATTTTGAAAAATTCGAATCATTTCAATAACAGCGTAAATGTTGCAAAATTCATGCATTTTTAAGCAAATTCAATTCTGTTCAATAACAGGTTCAATGTTGCAAAGTTCATCAATTATGAAAAATGTTTTGTTCTCATCTGATATTCTATATTACTGAATGTTAATTGTCGTTCTAAACACTTATTTTGTAAGCTCTTTAGTTGTCTTTTTAAACACGCGTCGTGTGTTTCTCGTAGGTTTGAAAGAGGACAGGAAGACACATTTAACCTGGAGATTGATGACATCGCGCCCCTGAAGAAGCTTCGAGTCCGCATCGACGGGACAGGGAGTCGTCCTGATTGGTTTCTTGACAAGGTCAGTCCAAGACGCTCGCATCCAAGGCTACGTTACGTCTACATTAATCCCGATACATTTGAAAACGGCGTTTTTGCATAAAAACGCTCTCCACACACACTAGCGTTTTCTACACACAAACCTCACAGAAGCTCACTTAGATGATACAGACGGTAAAATAAATAATAGATTTATCGCGCAATTCTTCTGACAGGATAATTTTATTTAGCAGAACATCTCCGCATTCACTGGTCGTCCAGGTCGCTCTCACTCATTATTATGTTTGGTCTAAATGCGACGTCTCATGTTTTACCGCAGCAAATGTGAGTAAATTCTATCATGTGTGCAGGGCTGTGATACGAAGAGTGTGTGAAGTAACATATTTTAGCAACTGTGTGAAAGTGAACAGCACATAATAGGCACAATACCGCTATAAACACGAATATCTATTGGTACAACATGTGTCACATGACTAAACTTACATCATCGTTTTTAAATACCTCCGTTTTGACAGTCCACACCACAACACGAAAACAGCGTTTTCAAATGAACATTAATTCTGTGAACATTATCTTATACACATTAACTGAAGTGCAAAAACGTTGTCCTTGAACATTCAGGACACAGGACCTTATTACAGGACAGGACCCCATTATTCTAGAACTGGAGACCTCTCACATGAATGCTGAGCTCCCAGCACATAACTTACAATTATTTAAATACAATAGAGTAACATAAAGCAGACATAATAGAGTAACATAAACCTGAGAATGATCATATAAATAATGTCAAGGTCTTTACTATACGCTTTTGGATTATTTCGAAATTTACCCACACTTTCGATTTGAAAGACGGCGGAGCGTCGTGTTCAACCGGTTGTGATGGTGAAGCCATTTTCATTTAAATTTGCTGTTGAATGCACGACAACAAAGCACTGCAACAAGCGCCACCTTGTGGATGTAATACGCAAATGTAAATTATCAGAGTAAACTCTGAAAAAACCAATGGAGTAGTGCTGCACGATTAATCATATCGTAATCGTAATCGCGATGTCAAGCCTATGCGATTATATAACGCAAAATACTGCGATTTTATATGAAATAAACAAATTAGGGCTGTTAACGCTAGGGGTGGAACGGTACATGTATTCGTATCGAACCGAAACGGTACGGGCGTCACGGTTCGGTGCACGAATTTACACGGAGAATACACGGTATAAAAATAAATAAAACTCGCGTGCAAATTAATTAATGTAATGCGAAACTACTGTCAGATACGCGGGTTCTTTAGGGACACATAATCTGTACCATTGGCTTAGCTCTGAACGCGCGTTCACTTCAAACGTTGGCTTTATACGCGCATCCTATTCGCTTTGGACTAGTGTCGAACTAGACGCGAATTTGACGCTCTATTCGCGTTTGGTGTGACCGTGACCGCATAATGAACAGGCAGCGATGTCAAGATTGCAATGCTGGAGTGTGTGTGTGTGCGAGAGAGAGAGAGAGAGAGAGAGAGAGAGAGGTGCGCGCGATCGAACAGTGGAAACATAAAAAACATACTCCGTCATTTTGTTCAGATCATTAAACCTGCAAAGTGTTTACTTATATTTGTGTACACTCGCAATAAAACACAACATTGTGCTTTTGTCACACTGTAAACTCTTGTCAAACTGTAACCTACAACTGTCACCCAACCAAAATCACACACACACACACACTGTTTTAAAAGCAAAACTTATTTATCCAACTCCATTTCAAAACAGTCTGTTGGTCCCATCTTTTGGACATTCGGCATATTGCATTGGTTTCCATTTCTTGTCCTCGGAGCACTAATCTTACACATTCTACATTGATTAAAAAAAGAAAATCGAATCTGTTTTTAATGGTAGTATTATTTTATACAGAAATCAATTATTTATAATTCAGATGAGAATAATGTTACATTATTAATTGACAATGTTAATTAAAATTAAGGAAAACAAATATATTGATCTGAAATATAGCAAAATAATTTTAAATTAATTCAGGTACAATTACCAAACATATCGCAAGGTCTTTTTGTCTTTTTATTAATTTAATTAATAAACTAATTATATAAAACTATTGTCAGTGCACTACAAATAAACTGGTTCTATGCCTTTATTAAAAAAAACTTATTTAAAAAATACAATGCCTTCTGCATTTTTGTTTTGCTTTTCCCTCCATTGTACCGAAATTGTACCGAACCGTGATGTCTGAACCGAGGTATGAACCGAACCGTGACTTCTGTGTACCGTTCCACCCCTAGTTAACGCAGCATCTGTTATTTTTTGTCATCCTTTGGCTAGTGTTACATGATCCCGCTCTTATTCATGCGAATGCTTTAAACAATTCAGCGAGACGAGTCAAAAGAGAGCGCGCTGCCTGTGTGTGTCCTGACTGGAAGACGCGCGCCAGAATCATGCGCGTGCACAGACCGCGCGCCAGAATACAGTTCTCTTACTGCTCGAAGTGAACGAACAATAACACACACAATTATGCCAAAATATCATTTGCGAGTGTCTTCATAACATAAGAGCAGTCTTATGATGGTCGTAAGAGTTGTGAGAGAATAAGGCGCGTGTGAGATCCGTGTCTCTGTCAGCAACTCTTAAAGGGCCAGCATCCAATAATGCTTTCTGTCAGTAAAGTTAATCAAAGAACAAAGGGAACAGAGAAAAACACTCACTGCTCTTGACCAAAGAACTTGTGTAGCTTTAAATAGGATTTTAGTCCATATAATTTATAATTTATGCAGCGCAGACTGTTTGATAACTTTATTCAATTTCTGTATATGTCCTACGTGTAGACAGGAAGAGCACAGGTAAATATGACATTTATAATGGGTTTATGTGAGGATTGTTTGAAGTTCACTTAAATTAAAATTAAATAAATTTTTATCCAGACATCAATGGCTTATTGATCATTATAGGTGTTATCAATCATTTAGTTGTTGTTGCTAGTTTGAGTTGAGAAATACACATTTCAGAATTATCACTAATCTGTGTGCGCATTTTGCTTTAGAACCAAGCAAGTTGACTCATGAAACCATTTGTTTATTATGTCGCAATCGCAAATCGCAATATTGACCTCAATAATCGCAACATGACATTTTCCCCAAATCGTGCAGCCCTACAATGGAGAAACCCCGAAAGTAAAACAGATAATTTATAATTAAATATTGCAATACTTTGCGCTACTGTATCGATATAATTGCGTGCGCAAAATATCGCGTTACTGAAGAGAATCGATTTTTTCCCCACCACTACACATGACCCAGATGATCATGAGAAACCTGACCACGGAGGAGGTGTATGTCTTCACGTACGAGGAATGGCTCTCCAAGACCAAAGGACCCAAGAGGACGAAGGTGTGTGAACTTCCAGCCGTGGTGGACGACGAGGAGATGGTGGAGAAAACCACGTACATCATTCAGGTTAAAACCAGTGACCTTACTGGTAGGTGGAGTTTACACGATGCATGGCTGGTTACTAAGCTTGTTTCCCTCACAGAATTAAAAAAATTAAAAAGGGAATTGCAACTTTTTATCTCACAATTCTTTGAATTGCGAGAAAAAAAAGGATTCAAATGACACAATTGCCTTTTTATTTTTTATTCCATGTTGGAAATAAACTTCCATATGAAGCAGAAAACATTACTAAATTTATAAACAACCATTGTGCTCATGCTATTAATGTAACACTGTACAATAAGGTTCCATTGTTCAACATTAGTTAAATACGTTTGTTAACGAACTGAAAATGAAAAAAGGGTAATGTCCATTTCAACATTTACGAATACATTATCAAAATTAAGTTGCCTCTGTTAATATTATTTAATGGATCTGAGCTGACATGAACTAACAATCTACAGTTGTGTTGCTATTAAGTAACATAACAAAGATATAAAAAGTTATGTTAACTAATCTTATATTAAAGTGTTACCATTCATTTTAATGTGTCATTGATTAATAAAATTGATAAATGAGTAAGAAAGCGAATGAAATGACTACTAATGTAGCCTGAAGGAATGTTTTATTGATCATTTCTTTCAAAGCTCAGGAGTTTTAATGAACTTCTGAACCAAGGTCAATAACTGTAATATATATACAAATATATATATATATATATATATATATATATATATATATATATATATAATTACATCTAGTTGCCAAGGCAATTTCTTATTTTAATTTAGTGATGATCTTGATGTACAAGAATAACTAAAATAAATAGTAAAAAAAAAATACATATTAAAAAAATCAATAACTTATAAAAAGGATCAAATATAGGATTTAAAAAAGGATTTTAAAAAAAAACTAATAAAAAAATATATATATAAAATATAAAAATAAATCTAAAATAAAAACTATCACGATTGATTATTGATTACACACTAATTAAGCATACACCATTTATCTTGTTTAGCATGTTGATTATGGCATAATTTGCTATGTCCAGCAAAGTAAACCATCAGATTGAAGGATGATTCTCACAAAACTGTATTTTCTGCAAGCTTTTTTCAAGGTAAATTTAGGCGTCTTTCCAAAAAATGACACTTGGAGACTCCAAAAGGAAACCAAATGATTTAAGGAGTCCATTAAATGAATACATTTATGCACAACTATACAGTGCTCTCCACTGAATCTCATTGCTGTCTATGAGAATGTTGAGATATTAAAACAGTAAACATCATGAGATGAGCTATGAATAAGATGCTGCTCTATTATATTAAATGCACAAGATTTTTCCTGTGTGTGTTTGTGCAGCCGCTGGTACCGACGCCAACGTGTTTCTGATCGTGTTCGGGGAAAACGGAGACACGGGAACACTAGCACTGAAGGAGAGCAGCAACAGGAACAAGTTCGAGCGCAAACAAGTGGACGTTTTCCGATTCCTGGATGTCCTGAGTCTGGGCGAGCTGTCGAAGGTTCGGGTCTGGCACGATAACAAGGGCCCGGCGCCCGGATGGCACCTGGAGTTCATCGATGTGAAGGACGAGCTCCTCGATGAGACCTTCCGCTTCCCCTGCGACCGATGGCTGGCCAAAAGCGAAGACGACGGTCAGATCATGAGGGAACTGGCATGTGCCAATAATGATATTCTGGATCTCAGTGAAAAGACCAGTAAGAGAGAGAGAGAGAGAGTGTGTGTGTGTGTGTGTGTGTGTTTTAGATGTTTGTAACCCTTATGTTCAGAGGTGGACAAATAGAGTGACCAGACGTCCCGAATCCGGTCCTAATTGTCCCGAAATTATACTAAAGCAACATCTTGAGTAGTTATTGTCTGATAAAACATTAAAAACTGTCCGTGAGGTCGATTCATCCTGCCGCCGGCTGCTGCATATTTTTTATTTATTTTTCTGAAGTTCTACAAAGATACGTAGGCGCGAATTCAGATATGCATTGATAAGCTAATTTTTGTTCAAAATATGAATGGCTGTCGCCTGAAAGATCTGATTTACGCACTGTTACAACACTCATTGTGTTGTTTTTTTCACAATGTAGCGTATTTATAAGTATTTTTTTTTTTTTTTTTTTTTTTGTCTGTAGCTTATTTATAAGTATATTTTAAAGAAAATCTAGTTCCTACATTATTTTTCTATACATTGACTCGTTGGGTCCTCTAACCTGCAATATGCCCTTTAAGGGGAAATTACACTTACGGTGATTTATGCAACCGCTACAAGTACAAGTTGTAAAGACCGATTTTTACTGAAGTAAAAGTACAGAAGTACTCGCTTTTAAAAGTACTTAAGTAACAAAAGTAAAAAGTAAATGTCAATGTATTGTTTTATTATTGTTGCATTGTTGTATGTAATACTTATTGTACATTATGCCTCTGAAGCAACCTAGTGAAAACACCTTACAGTTATTAGTGTCTGTGCAATTAAGAGCTTTGAGAATGTTATTAAACCTATAGAAATTAAACAACTGAATTGACAAAAAAAGACCTAATCCATATGTCATAAAGCCATAATCATCTTCATTTTTTATTTTATTTAACACTCCTACCACCCCAACAAAAGAACTACACATCTATGTGTGTCCATTCATGCACAGTTGAATCAAGCGGTCTGTAAAAATCGTAAGAAAATGATGGGAAATCACGACACGTGACCCTCAGACTGATCACTGATTGGCTGTCTGTCACCTGCACAAAAAAACAATCACGTTTTGTGATTGTGACGGAAATGTACTGGAGTCAAAAGTAGAATATTTGTCTTTCAAATGTAGTGAAGTTAAAGTAACAAGTTTCCAGAAAAAATAATACTCAAGCAAGGTACAGATTGATTGATTGATATCTTTATTTTGAACATGTTAATACAATTTTTTTGTAAAAAATTAGAGGAAAAAATAATAATGGTAAACAACAAAATAAAACTGCATACTTTCCAGTACTTAAAAAACCTCTATTTACTTGTACAAAAAGGAGTAGGAAGAAGTAAAACTTATGTACTCTACCCCTTTGGAGTAATAAGTAGTACTTTAAGTACAGGACTCAAGTAAAAGTCTTCTTGTTACTGTCCACCTCTGCTTGTGTTTATTCTGTGCTTTTGAATTTGCACTGTAACTTCTCTCCAGAATACGAGATCGAGATCACGACAGCCGGTTCTGATGATGCCGAGACGAAGGATAACGTGTGGATCGTTCTGGAGGGCAGGAAAGGTCGATCTAAAGAGTTTATGATGGAGAACTCAAAGAAGAAGAAGTTTTTGCGGTTTGTTTACACGCACAGCCATTTTAGACAGTGATACTATTACAGTCAGCTGTATTTCTAGTGCTTTATACTACACAGATCTGGGCTTTTAGACGCCACGGACCCCAAACATATGATTTAAAAATGTAAAAGATAGCTTTATGTTTTTATGTAAAAAACACAATTAATACTGTGAAAATGTTATATTATAAAGGTGCAAACTATTTAGTTTCTATTGTGTTTTTAACTCACTGTAAGTTGCAGAAGATTAAAGAAAAAAAAAATAATCAAATGTATAAATATAGGCCTATTGTTTATTTTTAAAAATAATATTTAATTGATTTTAATCTATTTATTAAGTATATTTAATCTTATATTTATTTATTTGCTTTAACATTTTACACTGATTTTCTTATTATTTATTTAAATGTTATTTATTTTGATCAAATGTATTAATTTATTATTTATTTTACTTCAATTAAATTATTTATTTTTATTTATTTTTTGTTAGTTGGATTAATCTTATTTTTATCTATTTGTTTTGACATTTTACACTATTTTTTTATTATTTATTTAAATTAAATTATTTATTTTAATCAAATGTATTAATTTATTATTTATTTTACTTAAAATATTGTTTATATTTTTTGGGGGGGGTTAGTTAGTTTGATTAGTTAGTTAGTTAGTTTATTTATTTTTACTTTTTTTAAACTAAAGAAGTCAGCATTGCAAGATATTATGGAAGCTTGTTTCCACCACAGAATAAAAAATAAAAAAGCTTTATCCATGTCATCACTACAAAAACCACGTTATTTCTCAGTGTGAATGATTGAACGCATGACTACTCATAATCTGTATCATCATCATAATAATCATATTACTCATAATCATAATCTGACTCCGTTCCAGTGGTGCCACGGATTCATTCGAGTTTTCCTCTAAAAATGTGGGAGAGATCGTTGGTATTTGCTTGGGCCATTTAACGAAGGAGAAGAAGGTGAAGAACGAGTGTTTCTGGCACGTGCAGGAGGTGCTGATCACAGAGAAAGAGCTGGGCAACAAGTGAGTCACGTCTCCGTGTTCCTCTCAATCAGTGCTGGGGAGAGTTACTTTAGTGTCACCGGCCCAAATCCATTACATTTTTAAAACAGTACCCTATACTAAACCTAAACTAATCTTGACAAACTATATATCATTTGAAAGCTTACAATCTCTAGTTTCCATATTTGATTTATCAATTTGCAACAAGAATATTTTCATACTCCTAAGGCGTGTTCAGACCTTTATTTTGAAATAGTGATGAAAGAAGGGTAGAAACCTCAGTTCCCTTTCGTTGTCACTCCGAGTTCCGTCGGATGACGACGAATGGGGTTTCGCTTAGAAAGCCTATCGACTTCGAGTATACAAAACGAGCCAATGGCAAGCAAATGCCATGGGTCTGCGGAATTTGCATGGCGCAACTCCGCCCCACCTCGTGGGAATAAAAAGGAGAAAGCCGGCAATATGCAGATATGTTTTTGCTTCGGAGCCAAGATGTTCTCTTCACTCCTGCAGTCTATTCTCTGACCATCTTCGAGAATCTTCAAGACGAGCAGCTTCCAGTCGGTGTTGGTGTGATGGCGTGTTCCAGCGAGTTTCACATTCCTGCCTGCTGATCTGAACAGCTGTGTGCTGCTCCCTGGGCACTTCAGCACTGCTGCAAGCTTTTCTCACACAAAAAGAGCGTGCACGCGGCGCGTCTTTTTAAAGACGATCTGCCCGTGCATTTCTGAGTGCGGTAGTCTGATAGATTCAGCTGATGGGCACGAGCGCTGTTTTGACGTGTTTGGGATTCGATCACGTTCGAACAGCGCTCGCGGATGCGTCACGTTCTCTAAGGGGAACATGACCATCGCAATGTAACGGTCAAGACTCAATGAGCTCAACTGAGTGAGAGTCCCCTCATCCACACCCCGATCTATTTTCTCCACGTGAGAGAATACTTTGGCTGGTGGCCAGGGTGACCTGAGATGGCTGGTGTGGAACTAAACCGCCGATTAATATCCGTGGTCCACACCCCTCTCTTTAACATTGCAACCCGCGCGGTTCTGAATGAGTTAGCTGGTCAGAGCCGCGTCCAGAGGACGCCGGCGGGCCGGCATCTCATTCAGTTCCCCGGCTGATGAAATCATGTCTATCGCCGCGTCACAAGGTGAGCTGGAGTCCTTTGGAAGTGAGGGCTCGTCTATGTTGCCACTCTCGGGTGTGCAACATAGCGAGTCTGATCCAGAGTTGACAGCTATGCTTCCCGGGCCGCCGCGAGTATCGGGCATGTGTGGATTACTCTGCCATGTCTCGAGCACTCAAGGCTGATGATTGGTTTTGGGGAGGCGAACCCAAAATCTTTTCTACCCGGATGTGCATGAAGAGGTTATGAGATCGTGAGAGTCTCCTTTGACTTTCGCGACTGCTCAGCAGCCTCTTCCACCTTCTCTGCCCTCGAGAGGCCGCGGCCATGGGTACACTGGGGTTCCCCCCGTGGAGTGTTCTGTGGCAGCACATCTGTGCCCCCACAGCGCCTCCACCTGGCGTGGCGACCCTAAGCACCCCTCCAATGCCTGTAGGTTTTTTGTCTACTCCGGTGGCAAAGACCTATAGAGCAGCGGACAGGCTGCCGTCTCACTGCATGTTATTGCCATCCTTCGGGGTGCTCAATGACATGCACGAGGGTAGGGCTGATTTAGGGCTCATCTAAGAGACTGCCTGCCGCCACCGACCTCGCTCTACGAGTGACGAAGGTGACCGCACGCTCCCTGGGTCAGGTGATGTCCACTTGTGTGGTCAGACATTTCTGGGTTAACCTGGTTGATATGCGCGAGGCTGAGCGAACCCGCTTCCTCAACTCCCCCATATCCCAGGCTGGCCCTTCGGCGGCGCGGCCGAGGACTCTGCCCAACAGTTCTCGGCCGCCCAGAAGCAGACTGAGGCTACCAAACACGTTCTGACCCCGCGGCCAGCTGCTGCCGCCGGCTCAGACGCCTCAGTCAGCTTACCGCCAAACGCGCCCTCCTGCGACTTTCGTCCCCTCCCGCCCGGCCCCAGCAGCTCCGGGCCGCGCCGTGGAGGTGGTCGCAGGAAAGCGCCCCAGCCCGTACCAGCTCCGCAGCCTGCCAAATGCCAGGCAAAGCGGCGCTCCCGTTACGGGCAGCTCAGAGATGGGTTGCAGTTCTCCAGGAGGTGGTTGCAGGGCCACTCCTTTCCCCGGTGGAGGGCCGGGGGAGAACCTCTTTTTCCAGAGAGCTGACTTCCCATCTCTAAGCACACAGAGTTCTCGGGCGACACGGTGCGCCGCCCCCGGGCCGTGCACCCCTCGTCCTCCTCTGTCCCAGAGCCGGATGACAGTGCGCGCCGTCCCCGGACCGTGCCGCTCTCATCCTCCTCTGTCGCCAGACCCCTGGCAGAGCAGACCCCCGTGGAACGTTCGTCCTTCCCTGGTCTCCTCTGTCAGGACTCTGCGGTCTATGACTGTACCCTCACACCGGGCCGCTATGCCGTCCGGGTCAGCCATACCGCCTCGCTGCTCCACCGACGGGAAGTCTGTGGTTCGCAAGACCCCGCTGGTACAGTCCTTGGGAGCCTGGCTAGAGCTTCCCAACCTGTCCCGCTGGGTCGCACGAACGATCAGGCTCGGCTACGCGATTCAGTTCGCGCGGTCTCCTCCCCGCTTCAGGGGAGTCCGCTCCACTATGGTCGGTGGCAATGCCCCTATCATGAGAGCGGAGGTTGCCACCCTGCTGGCGAAGGGTGCGATCGAGACTGTCCCTCCAGCCGAAATGAAGACCGGCTTCTACAGCCCGTATTTCATTGTCCCGAAGAAAACCGGTGGGTTACAGCCAATCCTGGACCTGCGCGTTCTGAACCGCTCCCTTCACAGGCTGCCGTTCAAGATGCTCACCGCCAAACGCGTTTTCGAATGTGTGCGGCACCAGGATTGGTTTGCAGCGATCGACCTGAAGGACGCCTACTTTCATGTCTCCATCCTCCCTCGACACAGACCGTTCCTGCGGTTTGCTTTCGAGGGGCAGGCATATCAGTACGCAGTTCTCCCATTCGGGCTAGCCCTGTCTCCTCGCGTCTTCACGAAGGTCGTCGAGGCAGCCCTTGTTCCCCTCCGGGAACACGGGGTTCGCATTCTGAACTACCTCGACGACTGGCTAATTCTAGCTCACTCTCGAGATCAGCTTTGCGAACACAGGGATTTGGTGCTCCGCCATGTAGCCCGTCTGGGCCTTCGGGTCAACTGGGAGAAGAGCAAACTTTGCCCCGTGCAGAGGATCTCTTTTCTCGGTATGGAGATCGACTCGGTCGCCATGTCCGCGCAGCTTACGAGCGAGCGCGCGCAGTCACTGCTGACTTGCCTGAGACAGTTCGAGGGCAAGAGTGCGGTTCCACTGAAACTTTTTCAGAGGCTCCTGGGGCATATGGCATCCGCAGCCGTGGCAACGCCGCTCGGATTACTTCATATGAGACCGCTTCAGCTTTGGCTTCGCGACCGAGTCCCGAGGTGGGCATGGCAACACGGCACTCTCCGAGTACCAGTTACTCCGACCTGCCGTCAGACCTTCACCCCGTGGTCGAACCTCAGTTTTCTACGGGCCGGAGTGCCCCTGGAACGAGCTTCCCGGCATATTGTCGTAACGACAGATGCCTCTACCACGGGCTGGGGTGCCATGTGCAATGGACGTGCAGGACCCCACCGCCTATGGCACGTCAATTGCCTCGAGTTGCTGGCTGTACAGCTCGCCTTGCGCCGCTTCCGAGCCGTGCTCAGGGGCCAGCATGTACTAGTCCGTTCAGACAATACCGCGACCGTAGCGTACATCAACCGTCAAGGTGGTCTGCGCTCCCGCCGTATGTCGCAACTCGCCCGCCACCTCCTCTTATGGAGTCAGAAGCATCTGAGGTCGCTTCGTGCCATTTATATCCCCGGAGCCCTGAACTGTGCAGCCGACGAGCTCTCACGGCTTCAGCCCCTCCCGGGAGATTGGCGACTCCATCCCCAGTCGGTTCAGCTGATTTGGGACCAGTTCGGGGATGCACAGATAGATCTGTTTGCCTCTCACGACTCGACCCATTGCGCCCTGTATTATTCCCTGACCGAGGGCACGCTCGGCACGGATGCACTGGCGCACAGCTGGCTGCAGGGCCGCAAATATGCGTTCCCCCCAGTGAGCCTTCTTGCGCAATTCCTGCGCAAGGTCAGGGAGGACGAGGAGCAGGTCACTCTGGTCGCGCCATACTGGCCCACCCGGACCTGGTTCTCCGAACTCATACTCCTCACGACAGCACCTCCTTGGCCGATTCCTCTGAGGAAGGACCTCCTTTCTCAGGGACGGGGCACCCTGTGGCACCCTCGTCCCGATCTTTGGAACCTCCACGTGTGGCTCCTGGACGGGACGAGGTAGGTTTGAGTACCTGATCATCAGGTTCCTGAGGGGAGCGAGGAGACTGAATCCTCCTCGCCCTCCTCTCGTACCCTCTTGGGACCTCGCAGTGGTCTTAACTGCCCTGCGCAGCGCTCCCTTTGAGCCTTTGCAGTCAGTCGAGCTTAACTTCCTGTCAATGAAGACAGCGCTTCTGACTGCATTGGCCTCCATCAAGAGGGTAGGGGACCTGCACGCATTCTCCGTTGACGAAGCGTGCTTGGAATTCGGGCCAGGTGGCTCTCACGTGATCCTGAGACCCCGGCCTGGATATGTGCCCAAGGTTCCTACCACTCCCTTCTGGGACCAGGTGGTGAACCTGCAAGCGCTGCCCCCGGAGGAGGCAGACCCAGCCTTGGCACTGCTCTGTCCAGTACGTGCTCTTCACATCTATGTAGACAGAACGCAGTGTTTCAGGACCTCAGACCAGCTCTTTGTCTGTTATGGTGGGAAGCTGAAGGGGAAGGCTCTCTCCAAGCAAAGGTTGTCTCACTGGATAGTGGACGCCATTGCTTTGGCATACCAGCAGCAAGGTCGACCGTGCCCCCTTGGTGTGACCGCCCACTCCACCCGGAGTGTCGCGTCCTCTTGGGCTTTAGCGCATGGCGCCTCGCTAACAGACATCTGCAGAGCTGCAGGCTGGGCGACACCTAACACATTCGCCAGATTTTACAATCTTCGAGTGGAGCCAGTCTCCTCCCGTGTACTGTCTTTTTCAAGCTAACATGGGATCCGTTAGGTGTCTTCGCTTGCTCGCCATGCCACTCCACGGACTGGATACGTGCGATATTCTCCTCAGGTGAGCTCCCCCGAAAGCCCTGAGCTCCTCCAGCACTGCTGACGCTGGCGCCAGTGTCTATTGCCTGCGCGTCGGCTAGGTGCCTTCCGTGTGCATGGTACCTCCTCTGAGCTACCCTCACATGTGTATTTCCACTGTAAGCCTCTTTGAGCATGTGTCTTTCCCTCGGCAAGCCACCTTGCCACCCCTGGGGTTGAAATATTCCACCTGCGGCTGGACACCCCAGTGATTCCCCATATGCATCCCTCGGGTCATATGTGTATTTTTAAGTCCCCCCCTCTGGGTTGGCAGTAATTGCATACTTCCCTAAAAGATCTGGGATATGCTCCCCAGTGTACCTTGGTACTGTGTTAAATCCTGTAAAATCCTGTGTTAAATAGGAGTCCTTCGTCCGTGCTAGTCTCACGACAGGGATCTCAGATTTACGCAGGGCACTGGAAGACAGCTGAGAAGTGGCGTGATTAGACTGGTATCCCCATTCGTCGTCATCCGACGGAACTCGGAGTGACAACGAAAGGGAACGTCTCGGTTACGGATGTAACCCTCGTTCCCTGAGTAGGGAACGGAGACGTTCCGTCTGCCTGCCACTTCCGCTGTACCGCTGAAACAGCCGAGTTCAGTCTTGGCTCCTCAGCGAAGAAACATATCTGCATATTGCCGGCTTTCTCCTTTTTATTCCCACGAGGTGGGGCGGAGTTGCGCCATGCAAATTCCAGACCCATGGCATTTGCTTGCCATTGGCTCGTTTTGTATACTCGAAGTCGATAGGCTTTCTAAGCGAAACCCCATTCGTCGTCATCCGACGGAACGTCTCCGTTCCCTACTCAGGGAACGAGGGTTACATCCGTAACCGAGACGTTTGTTTTCATGCCAAGAGTTCAAAAGATAGCATCCATTCAATTATTTTAGAAAAAAAGGTCTGAAAGAAAGAAATTATAGATTCACCATTTGTGATGTGGCAGGAAGCTATAACGCACATACTTGTTCTTTTTATGTGTTTCTTAGAGGTTGAATTCATATCAAAATCTGCCAAACTTCTCATATTACTTCTGAATAGGATGTCTATTTCATAAATTGTATGAAAATTGTGGAAATAATGGTTCATATCACTCAAACCATGGAGGCGCCCTTATATGGGCAGTGATGGAGTCTGGTTGTGCCCTAGTGGAAGCGTTCGGTACTGCGCCCACACACACTCTCACTGAAAGCTCATTTTTTGAGATATCAACCTACAATTTGAAACACAACTTGTTCAGATTTTTTTGGCTTTGATTTTTTTTTTGCAGTTTTAGTTGCCCAGGTTTTGAAAATATATATTTTATATAAAATATGAATAATAATTTTTTTTACATTGTACATTTTCATAAACTCAAACTTCTATAACTTTTTTTCTGTTTCACTTTCTTAATTAATTTCACTTCTACAATAATCTGCCAAATGTCTTCTTTAAAACGAGACCAATCTTACGTTTATATTCACAAGCATTCTTGAATTACAACCATTTAAGTTCGAAATGTGCATTTTCATGTATACAAAAAAAGGGGGGTGACAGTTAACAGGTTAAAAAAGTAATGCATTACAATATTGCATTACTCCCAAAAGAGTAAATAATTGCATTACTTTTATGAAGAGTAATGCTTTACGTTACTTTTGCTCACCTCAGCTGGGCTTACTTGTTTGTTTTTTAATAACAAGCATAAAAGATCTATTTTTGGCAAATGTAAAGGCCCTCTCACACCAGAAGTGAAGTGAATAATCCTCAGGCTGAAGGAATGCAGATTCACTGTACAGTTCAGATGCTGATATTCTGGATTAAAGAACAATAAAATACAGGAGAAGAAGTTCAACACTCTTATTTCTAAATCTAAGCTGAAGTGATATTTGCTTATTAGTACGGTTGAATTAGATCATTGAAGGTCAGCAGTAAAGACATTGGTTAATGAAGTGAGATTAAATAGCTACATAAAGTATATTTGTGTAATTTAATATAGTTAATTATAAAGTTTCGCGTAAAATTCTGAGAGTGCATTTTACTGTTTTTATTCATTTTGAGGAATACTGAATGTTTTCGTGCAAGCGAGACGAGTAAATGCATGTAGTCTAGATGTAAAATAACCATCATGTTTACACAGCGAACACACACACACACACACACGATCATGATCTTTACTTAATATCCCAATGATTTTTGGCATAAAAGAAAAAATCTAGCATTTTGTCCCATACAATGAATTGTTGGCCATTACCACAAATATACCAGTGCGACTTGTGACTGGTTTTGTGGTCCAGGGTCAGATATTAAATATATATATATATATATATATATATATATATATATATATTTAATATTTCAATTTAGTCATATAATTTGATTTAAATTTTCCCAACACTGGACATGACTGAGCAGATCCCGGCATTATTCTCCCGTTATCCTCCCGTTATTCTCCCGTTATCCTCCCGTTATCCTCCCGTTATACTCCCGTTATCCTCCCGTTATCCTCCCGTTATCCTCCCGTTATCCTCCCGTTATTCTCCCGTTATACTCCCGTTATTCTCCCGTTATTCTCCCGTTGTCCTCCCGTTATTCTCCCGTTATACTCCCGTTATCCTCCCGTTATTCTCCCGTTATCCTCCCGTTATCCTCCCGTTATTCTCCCGTTATTCTCTGCAGGTTCTACTTCACGTGTGACGCACGGATTCCCCTGGCCGCCAAGAGAGACGAGTTCATGACGTTCGAGTGCAGCAAAACCGTGGAGAGTTTCGCCAGCAAAGTCCGCAGTCTGGTTCCTGTTAAATACGAGATCATCGTGATCACGGGAGACGTGAAGGAAGCCGCCACCGACGCCAACGTCTTCATCACGCTCTACGGCGTCAACGGGGACTCCGGGAAGCGGGCGCTCAGGCAGAAGTTCAGGAACCTGTTCGAGCGGGGCCGGACGGACCGGTTCCTGCTGGAGATGCTGGATCTGGGAGAACTCCTGCGGGTCCGGGTGGAGCACGACGACTCCAGCACGTCGTCCGGCTGGTTCCTGGAGTGTGTGGAGGTCACCAACACCGCCAACTGGGTGACCACCATCTTCCCCTGCGGGAAGTGGCTCGACCTGAACAAATCCGACGGGCAAACTCACAGGGTTCTCTATCCCAAATACTGAAACCGCACGGGACTTATTTGTACTTTTTTAAAGAAATTCAAATAAACTTCCTTTGTATTTGTATTGAGGATTGCTACTGTCGTCATTGTCTTGAACTCCTGTCACTTTCTCAAGGTTTTGAAGCTGCAAACTTTGTCCGCCGCCTAAAACTGCAGCGAGACGTCTTCATAATGCAATAATTTGAGCAAAAATATGTCTCCCTGAGATATTAATACACGTTTGTTTACGTTTATTTTTTAGTTAACCAAATGAAATATTTCATCCTTTTACTAAGTGTTTCATTTTGATTGTTTATAATTTTATATATTTGAATTTATGAATAATTATTAGCCTTTAAATCAACTCACGAGTGTGTAGGAGCAATTCATTTATAAATGTCAATTGTTTCCCCTTTACTTTATTGACTCATGACTCCTGAATAAATTAACTAGTATTCATTAAATGTGCTTGGTTCCCTAAAGCCCAATCGCCTTGAACTTGTTTTAAATCATACATGTTATTTTTGATTCAAAAGCCGGTCTGAAACCAGTTTCTGTAGTAAGTGCTTTCATTCCCCAACGCCGCCAACTGGGTGACCACCAAACTCACAGTTCTGGATCCTACATACTGAACGCGTGTGATATTGAACTCTGGGAATTATTTGTAGTTTTTTAAAGAAATTAAAATAAACTTCCTTTGAATTGGGAATTGCTAATGTCGTCATTGTCTTGAAATCCTGTCACTTTCTCAAGGTATTGAACCTGTCAGCCGCCAAAAACTGAAGCGAGATGTCTTCATAATGCAATAATTTGAGCACAAATATGTTCTTGAAGTCTCCGAGATGTTAATACTTTAACGATTTATCAACACATTCACGTTTACGGTTCTCTGATCACATGACATGCAGCTAAACCAATGAAATATTTCATTCTGTTAGTAAGCTTTTCATTTTGATTGTTTATAATTTGATATTTTTATGATTTATGAATAATTATTAGCCTTTTAACTCACTTAACTATTAAAGTGTGTTGGAGCCATTCATTTATAAATGTAAGATTTTTTTCCCCTTTACTTTATTGACTCGTGAGTGACTCCTGAATAAATTAACTAATCATTAAATGTGCTTGGTTCCCTAAAACCCAAACGCCTTGGAGTTGCTAAGAACAATAGTTTAAAAAAGTTTCAAGAGTAGATTAAATGAATTGGAGATTTTAGTGTGCATTGATATATATATATAAAAAAGAGTTTTCACTTCCAAGACCAAGTGTGCGTATTATTGGGACAAGATTCATACCCAGAATAAGCAGCAAAGATGTAGATAACAAACTATGCATGAAACAACAATGAAAGATTTTTTTTTTAGGCATTTTCAACATTTTATTTGAAAAAACACATACAAAAAGGGTCATATACAAGACAAGAAATTAAAAAAGAAAGAAAAATTTGGGTTAAGCTATGCAACTTTTTGCATCATCATTAGTAATAAATACAGTACAAAATCCACCAAAAGTGAATCTAAGATTTTCTTCATTTTTTTTAACGCAATATACACTTATCTAGTTATCATACATTATAATCACCAAGCTATTGCTTAAATATTGTCAATACATATTTTTCTACTTGAGCTATAAAATATTCATGTCAGAAAACATTGCGCAGTAACAGCACACAGCAGTGTCTTGTACAAAGAGCCACTTCCCTTTCACTGGCAGGTTATTCAACTATTTTTTTCTTTTTTTTCTTTTTATGTCAGCAGCAGAAAAAACATCAGAAATATTTATGGTAAAATATTTTAACATATGTATCCATTCTCATACGCATATTAAAACCTGAGAAAGACATGCATTACAGAGCTTGTGCTTTAGGATCTACGGTTCAGTCTGTTAGCGAAACATGACACTACTATTGCTTATGTCCAAAATCTGCTGGAGAGATGGATCAAATCAAGAGACTTTAAGGCTACACAGGCTAGAAACACAAATCATACGATATAAAGCCATTTTTTCTTTAATCTCTACCGGTGTAGAAAGTAACTGTTATTCCAGGTACAGATTGTTTTGCATGGCAGGAAACACAATTATTTCACTGGAAACAAGAGTTATCAATGAGCTATAGTGTAAAAACACAATGCAATGTTGACAGATTATTGAAGTTAAATACAGGGTTCGTACAAGATGCTTAAAGTGCTTGAATTTAACTTTGTGAAATTTAAGTCCTAAACCCTGAAAACAGCCATATTTATGCATAAAAAATGCTTGAATTATTGAAAGATAATATATGTGAAAGTAGTGTTTAATCTTATTGATAAATCTTTTCACGCTAAATTAACGCTGCAGTCCGTCTGATATTGATATAGAGCAATTTCACATGGCTATGAGTGTGATATTGCTCATAAATATCCACGTATATGATGCATCTTTCATTCTTCAGGTCAATCATATATTCATGTGGGAAAAAATCAGTTTGAAAGAGGAAAGCGATATCTTTGTCATAGTATCCTTTCAATGGTTAAAGTTTCCACAGTCATTGCTTGTGTTACTCTTTATTTGAACCATTTTGTTTGATTGGATTATTAATCTACTTAGCTTTTTTAGAATTTGAAAGATAATAAAGATATTGTTTGATCTCATTGTAGTCCTTTAGGCAAAAAAAGTAGTGCTTGAAAAGTGAAATTTGATTTTACAGTATCTGTACGAACCCTGTAAATAACCTGACGTGGTGAAATGGTGAAATGTGACAGACCTATACGGCAGCTACACTAGTCTAGATGACCCACAACACGACCTGCATTCAACATTTAAAGCCCCTTATATGAAGTACCGATACGAATCCAAAGGCAAAGGAAAATGCTACTAATGGGGAAAAATAAGCATAACTTAAAGTTAAAGCCACATGGGCACAAGACAAGCAGCTTTAATCAATCACAGTAAGCGCTGAACTCGCTCCTCACGACTGAACACAGACCGTTCGCAGGACGACAGTGAGAGGCAGCGAAGCTGAGAGTGCAAAAACAGCAGACACATGCAAAACAAGTCCAGTTGGTCTACGAGCTCACAGCCGAACGACTCTTTGAAATCGCATTAATGGAATGTAACCAAAAAACTACAGCACCACATACTAGCACGTTTCAGCACGCCCTGCTGGGGACTTGAGCTTGTTTTGACACCTAGGCCCCTTAAAGTACAACCGCATGCAAAGCACTGCACTCCCATTAAAGTATAGCACAATGAGGTATTTATACACACGTTATGCTGACGTAAATAAATAAACCAATCGATTACATTGCGATACTAGCTCAGAACTTAAATACGCACCCATAGTAGGTGAAGTTAGTCATAAATTATGATTGTTAAATACTTAAGGCATTTCGACGCACAATATCATGTGTAAACTATAAAACGCGGACGGACGATGAAAAAAAGATCACGCGACGATCGAAGACAAGAAAATGCTTCCAACTTCCTGGCTTCCGCTCCAAGCAGCTGAACGCTTGAATTCGGGAAAAGTTGCAAAAGCAAAGTCAAGAACATCTGCTACGGAAAACAGTCACGGACATTGAAAGTGGTCAGTGAGGCAACAACTATTGCTTAGGGATGCACCAGATATCGGTCACTGTATCGGTATCGGCCGATATATGTTCATTGTTAGCGTAATCGGCCCGATAAGAACATTTGGCCGATATTTCAAAGCTGATAAATACTGTATTATTTCCTTCAGCGTAGACACTTCAGATGCGCACTGTTCAACATGATGGTGTTGAATTGATTTGAAATATTGTTGAAATTACTTCAAAAAGTAAAATACTGTTAAGTGCAATGTACAGCGCTGATCTGTCATATCTCTGTCAGATCTGGCTACATAAAAGAACATTATATATTATTGTGTGCTTGGGACGTGGCTTTTAATGGTGAAAGTTTTGTTTTTGTAATCAGACTCTCAAAATGTATATACAAATTTGGATTTAGATTTATCGGCCAATATATCGGTTATCAGCTTTCAAATATAAAGAGTTATCGGTATCGACCAAAATTTGGAGTTAGATTTATCGGCCAATATATCGGTTATCAGCTTTCAAATATAAAGAGTTATCGGTATCGGACAAAATTTGGATTTAGATTTATCGGCCAATATATCGGTTATCAGCTTTCAAATATAAAGAGTTATCGGTATCGGCCAAAATTTGGATTTAGATTTATCGGCCAATATATCGGTTATCGGCTTTCAAATATAAAGTTATCGGTATCGACCAAAATTTGGATTTAGATTTATCGGCCAATATATCGGTTATCGGCTTTCAAATATAAAGAGTTATCGGTATCGACCAAAATTTGGATTTAGATTTATCGGCCAATATATCGGTTATCGGCTTTCAAATATAAAGAGTTATCGGTATCGAGCAAAATTTGGATTTAGATTTATCGGCCAATATATCGGTTATCGGCTTTCAAATATAAAGAGTTATCGGTATCGGACAAAATTTGGATTTAGATTTATCGGCCAATATATCGGTTATCAGCTTTCAAATATAAAGAGTTATCGTATCGGCCCAAATTTGGATTTAGATTTATCGGCCAATATATCGGTTATCAGCTTTCAAATATAAAGAGTTATCGGTATCGGCCAAAATTTGGATTTAGATTTATTGGCTTTCAAATATAAAGTTATTGGTATCGACCAAAATTTGGATTTAGATTTATCGGCCAATATATCGGTTATCGGCTTTCAAATATAAAGAGTTATCGGTATCGATCAAAATTTGGATTTAGATTTATCGGCCAAAATATATCGGTTATCGGCTTTCAAATATAAAGAGTTATAAGTATCGGCCAAAATTTGGATTTAGATTTATCGGCCAAAATATATCGGTTATCATCTTTTAAATATAAAGAGTTATCGTATCGGCCAAAATTTGGATTTAGATTTATCGGCCAATATATCGGTTATCGGCTTTCAAATATAAAGAGTTATCGCCATCGGTTATTGTATCGCCAAAGTCTTCATATCGGTGCATCCCTACTATCGTTACGCAAAGAAACTGTGCTGTTAAAAAGTCTGCTTCCTTGTTTTTTTGTGTGTGTGTGTGTGTGTTTTTTTGGGGGGGATGGAGTGCACGATACGCAAGGAAACAGCTTACTCGAGTGCAAATGCAAAAAAGCAGGGTAACGATCACACGACCTCATCAGAACGTGAGTGCATTTACAAAAATAACCACTAACTACATTAAGACAACAATAAATAAGTTGTTTTGTTTTTTCCAGCATCGCAGCTACTTATGTTGAGAAGCTGTACCAGCCCCGCACACACAGCTTGGCAAGAGAAGAGAAAGAAAACCAGAAAGAGTGATCGTGAAGAACAGCCTTAGAAAAGTTATGTTTGGTTTCTATAAAACAAATGGCTTTACTCCCTTGTCATGTCCTCTAGAAATGGCAGCAAACAGGTTTCATGCACATTCTGACTCTACAAGCGAGACCACGAGTCACAGAGCGAATGGAAACACAGAGTTATGCCGTTACTATTCGACGTGTGCTTGTGCTACAGGCATTACGGTACATGTTTCACTCGCGGTGACTTCGGAGACGCTTCGAGAACACAGTGTCTTCAGGATGAGCAGGACGCCCTCGCCTCACGTTTCCCAGAAGAACCCGGGCTCTCGCTTCAACATGCATTTAGTGGATACGTTTCTAAGCGTTGGACAAAATGCAGACCATTATCAAGCCTGGCCTCACGATTACGTACGAACGCCAAGCATCATCTCCGATAATTACAGACACGACGACGACTGAGCGTTTTCAGGACTTCTCTCATTCGCTCATGATGCGTTTATTCCACAAATGATTCGTTCAACTACGTTTAAAGAAGTTCATGACCAACCACGTGTGATATGCTGTAATGCTTCATCCGTGACCCACTGAGAACATTTGGTTGGTCATCGTTCCCCCACACACACACACACACACGCACACGCACATACAGAGCACTTTGACTGAAACCATCTTCATCGACAGACTCGTTCTTCTCCACTCTTCTCTGTTCTTATGGTCATTTGGCTCAGAAGGCAAAGGTCAGAGGTGAGAGTGGTGATGGAGATGACACACATTTTGGCAAAGTGCCCACGAGGGGACGAAGAGAGACGACAGGACCGTTCGCTACTGCTACACGAGACATCAGCTATCAGGGGACAACTGCGTCTCAATGTCTACCCTGCAGATGGGACACTTCTTATTGGTCGCCAGCCACTGGTCGACACAAGCCTGATGGAAGAGGTGCATGCAGGGTAATCTCCTGAGAAAAGAAGAACAAAAACGGAAGATAATGTCACCGGTTTCATTAGGAGATCGAGGAAAGTGAGTGTCGAGCAGAACTACCTGACGTCCTCTCCGTCCTCGAGCATCGAGAGGCATATTGTGCATTTCTCATCCGTGTCGAGCTCCTCTTCATACATGCCGATCTTCAGATCCAGAGGTCTTCTCTGCGGATCACATGCTTTTTTTAAAATCCAATTTACACTTAATAAATTACAGGTTCAACCAAGTATACAACAGTCAGATATTAAAAACGTATTAATTCTCCAGCAGCCTTGGGCTAACATCCACAGCATCTCCATTTTATTTATATTTATATATGTGCAGACTGATCTCATGAAATGGCGTATGTATGACACGCCAATTCGTATTTCCATTTTTGGCGTGCTATCAACACGCATAATCGCTTTTCAGCGTGTTTATCAACGCCTTTGACTTAACGTTTTATTACTGTATTATGTAGGCCTATATATAAATATATGACCTACCCCAACCCCGTCCCTAAACCTACCCGTCACTGGGGTTAATACCATTTATGAGTGTTCCCCTACCATCCTAGGAAAAGAAATATCGCTCCACAGATGTAGATATAGATTTTGCTTCGTTTCGCTCGGACATTTAACGGCGTACACATACACGCGGAATCACTCGGACATTTAACGGCGTAGACATACACGCAAAAGATTTTGGCGTGAACATACACGCGGATAGCTCAAAATGCGTATAGATAACACGCCACTTGACTTGAAAAGTGGCGTGTATGTTTACGCGAAGTCATGATGTCATGTTGATATGTGTGTGTGTGTGATCTGTGCTGGCAATATGAATTGCAATGAGCAAATTTTCAAAAATGAGTTAGTTATTTTCACATTCTCCATTAAAAAAAAACTTCAAACTGATTAGTTGGAATCAGACAAAAAATGCTTGAGCTGCACGTTTGAAGTCGATGGAGTCAGCAAAGTCAATTTTGAGAAAAAGTTTTCTGAAGTTTCCAAAACAAAATCACTTAGCAAACCATAAAATCCCTGGTAATAACACCAAATTTGGCACACACCAAGTCAAAACATATCTATAGGAAAAGTATATATTCAGCTTTTCCCCCATGATAGCTACCACAATTATTTGATTAACATTTATTTATTTGTTTTAACATTTCATTTAACAGACAGCCTACAGTAACATGAACTAGCCATGAGCAATCCATTTGTTACTGTGTTTATTAGTCTTTGTTAATGTTAGTTAATAATAATACAGCTGTTCATTGTTAATTCATGTTAGTTCACAGTGCATTAATGTTAACAAGATTTTAATAAAGTATTAGTAAATGTTAAAAATGAACATTTAACAAAGATTAATAAATGCTGTATAAGTGCAGTTCATTATTAGTTCGTGTTAACTAATGTAGTAAACTAATGTTAACTAACGAAGCTCATTGTAAAGTGTTACCGATTTCCGACAATTTCCCAGTAATGGACTACAATTATGTGATGTATAAATATATAAATAAAAAATTTGAATATAATATACATTTTAGTAATGTTTACCTTTTTATACTTGTGAGGAAATGTACACCTCTCAATGGTGGTCTGCACAGCCCCTCGGTTCACGTTTCCCAGTCTGTCCTCCAACTGTAGGAGCTCCTGGAATAAAAACATCAGATGAGATCATGAGATCTGAACATCATCTGAGATCTGAACACATGTGATGAAGAACATCATCTGAGATCATGAAATCTGAACACGTGTGATGAAGAACATCATCTGAGATCTGAACACGTGTGATAAAGAACATCATCTGAGATCTAAACACGTGTGATGAAGAACATCATCTGAGATCTGAACACGTGTGATGAAGAACATCATCTGAGATCTAAACACGTGTGATGAAGAACATCATCTGAGATCTAAACACGTGTGATGAAGAACATCATCTGAGATCTGAACACGTGTGATGAAGAACATCATCTGAGATCTGAACACGTGTGATGAAGAACATCATCTGAGATCTGAACACGTGTGATGAAGAACATCATCTGAGATCTAAACACGTGTGATGAAGAACATCATCTGAGATGTGAACACGTGTGATGAAGAGCATCATCTGAGATCTAAACACGTGTGATGAAGAACATCAGATGAGATCATGAGATCTGAACACGTGTGATGAAGAGCATCATCTGAGATCTGAACACGTGTGATGAAGAACATCATCTGAGATGTGAACACGTGTGATGAAGAGCATCATCTGAGATGTGAACACGTGTGATGAAGAGCATCATCTGAGATGTGAACACGTGTGATGAAGAGCATCATCTGAGATGTGAACACGTGTGATGAAGAGCATCATCTGAGATCATGAGATCTGAACATGTGTGATGAAGAGCATCACCTGAGATGTGAACACGTGTGATGAAGAGCATCACCTGAGATGTGAACACGTGTGATGAAGAGCATCACCTGAGATGTGAACACGTGTGATGAAGAGCATCATCTGAGATCATGAGATCTGAACACGTGTGATGAAGAGCATCATCTGAGATGTGAACACGTGTGATGAAGAGCATCATCTGAGATGTGAACACGTGTGATGAAGAGCATCACCTGAGATGTGAACACGTGTGATGAAGAGCATCAGATGAGGCGTGACGTACCTCGTAACTCTCCCGCACAGCAGACGCGTGTCGAGACGGACTGAGGCCTTGGAGAGCCAGCAGGTGTAACTGAGGATATGGGTAGTTTCTGATCTCATGGACAACCTGTGCAGGACAACACCATTCATTAACATACAACACCAATGAGCAACTGGATGTTGAGGCTTTTAAAAGAGCATGTGAGAGATGCATTTAAAAAAACAAATGTGTTTTGTGCCGGCATGACTTATATAAGTCGCAGCATGTTTTGCATCATTGCATGATTTAAAAAATGGGACTTAAACGGGTCCTTGATTATGATTTCACTTTTTTAACTTTAGTTAGTGTGTAATGTTGCTGTTTGAGCACAAAGAACATCTGCAAAGTTACGACGCTCAAAGTTCAAAGCAAAGGGAGATTTTCTTTTACAGAAATTGCTTTTTAAGGACTACAACAAACGGCTGGTAGGAACTACAACGAGCTTCTTCCTGGGTTGGTGACATCACAAACCCTAAAATTTACATAAACCCCGCCCCCGAGAACACGCAATACAGAGGTAAGGCCATGTTGGCCTGCTTTAGAGTCTGTGATCGATTACTGTTTGTATTACCATAGTTTTCTAACAAATATGATTAAATGGTGGATAACAATCGTATCCATGAGAAAATTACAAAGAAATATACCACAATGTCCTGTGAAATCCGGCCGTTAACATCGTCAGGGTCTGAATCGGTCTCGAAATGTTTTGAAATTGACGCCATCATTAATATTTACATCTGAGTAGAGCTTGCGGTTATGAAAGGATGGGACATTTCCCGAACACACGCTAAGCGCAGTCAATCACAACACACTGGGCCAGCTAACCAATCACAGCACATTTCGTATTTCGGAAGGAGGAGCTTCAGCCAAAACGACGCATTCAACCAGACTGGGGAGAGCGGAGCTGTAATACTGTAAAATATGTGAAAAATAATGCGTTTTTGAACAATCAAGCATGAAAACATGTTCTAGTACACCCCAAAACAAAATCAAGACTGTAAAAAATCCATAATAGGACTCCTTTAAATAGCATAAACATTGGCACTGGCAACGCCAAGGTCATGGGTTCGATTCCCAGGGAATGCATGAACTGATCAAATGTATAGGTTTAATGCAATGCAAGTCGTGTCTGCCGAACGCATACATGTAAGAGTGATTGCAAAGGCGCGGACTGACCACTTGTGCCGAGGTGTTGCTCCTGGGGAAGTGATGCAGGCGTGGAGAGGTCAGGTAATGCTGATAATGCTGAGTGAGAGGAGAGACGTGATACTGTGGCAGGCCTGGATCCACACTCAGATCCCTGAACACAAACACACCACAGATGTCAGTAGATCAGAGCCCAAACTGAGGACTAGTTTATGCGGTATCTGAACACAGACGCACCAGTCTGTTCCTTCGGCAAGGTAGCGCGGCTGCTGTGGGACCGGCGCCGGGATGTGAAAGGATTGTGGGTAATCATACGGCGGGCGCAGCGTCTGCGGATGGGGAAGAGTTCGGTCTGAAGCGTGTCTGCTGGGAAAAATCAGAACCAAATTGTTAGAACATAACAAAGATCTAGTTTTAAAGTCCCCCTGTAGTCTCTAATTGTATCCCTATATAATAATTGAGTAAAACTCATCTTTGATCGCCAAATCTATATCAGTAAAAGTTTTTGTTTATCACATAAATGCAGCCTTGGTGAGCACGAGACTTCTTTTAAAAACCTTTTTTTGTTATAAAACGGCATGTATATGAGGTTGACTTTGACTTCTGGTTGAGTTTAAACACAGCTGTGCTGTGGAAGTATCCTGAAAACTTTACTGATTACTGATTTTGATTTAAAACTTTATTGATTACTGATTTAAAACTTTACTGCTTACTGATTTAAAATGACTGATTACTGATTTAAAACTTTACTGATTACGGATTTAAAACTATTGATTACTGATTTAAAATGACTGATTACTGATTACAAACTTTACTGATTACTGATTTAAAACTTTACTGATTACTGATTTAAAATGACTGATTACTGATTACAAACTTTACTGATTCTGATTTAAAACTTTACAGGTTACTGATTTAAAATTTTATTGATTACTGATTTAAAACTTTACTGATTACTGATTTAAAACTTTACTGATTACTGATTCTGATTTAAAATTTTATTGATTAGTGATTTAAAACTTTACTGATTACTGATTTAAAACTTTACTGATTACTGATTCTGATTTAAAATTGTATTGATTACTGATTTAAAACTTTACTGATTACTGATTCTGATTTAAAATTTTATTGATTACCGATTTAAAACTTTACTGATTATTGATTACAAATTTTATTGATTACTGATTTAAAACTTTACTGATTACTGATTTAAAATGACTGATTATTGATTACAAACTTTACTGATTCTGATTTAAAACTTTACTGATTACTGATTTAAAACTTTACTGAATACTGATTTAAAATGACTGATTACTGATTTAAAACTATTGATTACTGATTTAAAACGACTGATTACTGATTACAAACTTTACTGATTACTGATTCTGATTTAAAATTTTACTGATTCTGATTTTAAATTTTATTGATTTCTGATTTAAAACTTTACTGATTACTGTTTTAAAACTTTACTGATTCTGATTTTAAATTTTATTGATTACTGATTTAAAACTTTACTGATTACTGATTAAAAATGACTGATTATTGATTACAAACTTTACTGATTACTGATTCTGATTTAAAATTTTATTGATTACTGATTTAAAACTTTACTGATTACTGATTAAAAATGACTGATTATTGATTACAAACTTTACTGATTACTGATTCTGATTTAAAACTTTACTGATTACTGATTTAAAACTTTACTGATTACTGATTCTGATTTAAAACTTTACTGATTCTGATTTAAAACTTTACTGATTTAAAACTTTATTGATTACTGATTCTGATTTAAAACTTTACTGATTACTGATTTAAATGACTGATTCGACTCGTGGTAGTTGAACACACCTGTGCTGTGGAAGTATCCTAACTCTACTGATTACTGATTTAAAACTTTACTGATTACAAACTTTACTGATTACTGATTCTGGCTGAAAACTTTACTGATTACTGATTCTGATTTAAAACTTTACTGATTACTGATTTAAATGACTGATTCGACTCGTGGTAGTTGAACACACCTGTGCTGTGGAAGTATCCTAACTCTACTGGTTACTGATTTAAAACTTTACTGATTACAAACTTTACTGATTACTGATTCTGGCTGAAAACTTTACTGATTACTGATTCTGATTTAAAACTTTACTGATTACTGATTCTGATTTAAAACTTTACTGATTACTGATTTAAAACTTTACTGATTACAAACTTTACTGATTACTGATTCTGATTTAAAACTTTACTGATTCTGATTTAAAACTTTACTGATTACTGATTCTGATTTAAAACTTTACTGATTCTGATTTAAAACTTTACTGATTTAAAACTTTATTGATTACTGATTCTGATTTAAAACTTTACTGATTACTGATTTAAATGACTGATTTGACTCGTGGTCTAGTTGAACACACCTGTGCTGTGGAAGTATCCTAACTCTACTGATTACTGATTTAAAACTTTACTGATTACAAACTTTACTGATTACTGATTCATTTTTCATTTTCTCTTTTATTCTTTTCATGAAAATGCATTATTTATACCAATCACATAGCTACAATTCATTTGAAATTTCCTTTACATTTCCATGATCAGAAAGGAGCAGATGGAAGAATAATATTCTTATATTTATCTGCCCCCTTTATAGACATCAATAATAGATGGCATTAACATTGTTCCCTCCACCATCACCCAAAATATATTAACATACATAATAGATATCATTAGCACTGTTCCCTCCACCATCACCCAATCTCCAACATATTCTGTTATTCTGTAAGATTCTGGCTGAAAACTTTACTGATTACTGATTCTGATTTAAAACTTTACTGATTACTGATTCTGATTTAAACGACTGATTTGACTCGTGGTAGTTGAACACACCTGTGCTGTGGAAGTATCCTAACTCTACTGATTCGACTCGTGGTCTAGCTGAACACACCTGTGCTGTGGGAGTATCCTAACTCTACTGATTACTGATTTGACTCGTGGTCTAGCTGAACACACCTGTGCTGTGGGAGTATCCTAACTCTACTGATTACTGATTCGACTCGTGGTCTAGCTGAACACACCTGTGCTGTGGGAGTATCCTAACTCTACTGATTACTGATTTGACTCGTGGTCTAGCTGAACACACCTGTGCTGTGGGAGTATCCTAACTCTACTGATTACTGATTTGACTCGTGGTTTAGCTGAACACACCTGTGCTGTGGGAGTATCCTAACTCTACTGATTACTGATTCGACTCGTGGTCTAGCTGAACACACCTGTGCTGTGGAAGTATCCTAACTCTACTGATTACTGATTCGACTCGTGGTCTAGCTGAACACACCTGTGCTGTGGGAGTATCCTAACTCTACTGATTACTGATTCGACTCGTGGTTTAGCTGAACACACCTGTGCTGTGGGAGTATCCTAACTCTACTGATTACTGATTCGACTCGTGGTCTAGCTGAACACACCTGTGCTGTGGGAGTATCCTAACTCTACTGATTACTGATTCGACTCGTGGTCTAGCTGAACACACCTGTGCTGTGGAAGTATCCTAACTCTACTGATTACTGATTCGACTCGTGGTCTAGCTGAACACACCTGTGCTGTGGGAGTATCCTAACTCTACTGATTACTGATTCGACTCGTGGTCTAGCTGAACACACCTGTGCTGTGGGAGTATCCTAACTCTACTGATTACTGATTCGACTCGTGGTCTAGCTGAACACACCTGTGCTGTGGGAGTATCCTCCTGTGCTGGGCCTCCAGGATCTGCTGCTGGATGAGGTATTGCTGGTGTAAAGCCTGAGGTAGGAATGATGGGGTCGAGATGTCCTGGAACGGAGGCGCTGGTATATGGTTGAGCGGGGCGTGTGGTTGACCCAGGTGAGGGCTCATTCCCGTGGGAGATTGTCCTGGATGGGGCATTGGGAAATCAACAGGGATCTGGGCCTGAGGGCCTACGTGGAAATGCCGGCAAGAGGTAGCATGACTGTGCTGATGCCTGTTAAAATGAGATCCTGCAAGAACAATGACATCACAGCCAATTATGAGTGGGATTAAACTAATGCTGGAGGCTTGGCCTTCATCGTCTTCATCGAACTTCCAGAAGAAATGAATGGTCAGCAGTGGGTGTGATGGGGAATGAAGAGTGGAGGGGAGTGAGATGTGTTTGAATGGCATGTTAGTCTGTTAGCAGTGAATGTGGTTACATACACACAGTCAGTGTTTGAGAGTGTAAATCAGATTTACCGTCGGATACATACAGAGACAGTATGAACAGGGAACTGAAGTCAAACCACTTCACTAATTCATCCCTGTAAACATATTGACAAGTGAGGAAATATCAAGACATGCAACTTTAGTTTATCCTCATCAGTTTGTGGTCAAAACTAGGTTTAGTTTTTTGTTTTCCCCAAACACTTTGTGCCGAAGGATAATCACTGAAGCAATGGTTGGTTTGTTAAAATCACACAGTATTTATAGTACCTAAATTAATAAAATAGGCTGTGACTACGAGGAATGATTACCTCAAAATATACGTCTGTGTGCAAGTTCGAGGGACTTTATTTCTTCATTCTTCATTCTTCCCTTGCACTTTGTAACACATCTTCCTAAATGACCCAAAGCCCTAAAATCATACTTAATTTCTGTTGTCCAGAGAGATTATTTTATTTCATTTTGATAATATTTTTTAATGCAATTTAAGGAGATTTTTTATTTTTTTTATTAACCTTTAAATTACTAGATTGGATAGTAATTTAAGCACATTCCTCACATTCTTTCAACTTAAATTCAAAATAACTCACAGTCACAACTCAATGCAAAACCCTTTTAATTCAGCTCTAAATATCTGACATTGTGTGTCTTTGCCGACCTCTTGTGTTCATGACTCTAGGTTTCCTTATATCTCTATATGGAGTAAATGAGCTGTTCCTTAGGGTCCTAAAGTCAGTTTCTCTTCAGTGTGCACTCAGACACACATGTAGACAGTATAAATAATTTTATTAGCATTTCTAGGTTTTTCTATGTGAACTGAAGCATTCCTCGCATTCCATTCATTCCTAAGGGCCTTAAATTGACCTGCGAGGGAAGCATTTGTTACTTTTTAAAATTTCAACCACAAAACTCCTCGAATCCATTCAAACTTTTTTTGTGCGTGGTTCAAGTGCGACGGGGTCTTGGACCCTTCTGATGAACCCTCAATTTTTTAAAAATTTTTTTTATTAGTTTCAGGTAAAAATGACCGAGGGAACGATGATTAAATGAATTACACACAACTCTTTAGCTATTGCCTCGTGCCAGTGATTAACCCTCCGCGTGCCATAGGTTGCCGAACCCTGCTCTACAATAACACACTTTCTTCCATCTTAAATAGTTTAAAAAGTCTACTTTCCATGGCGTATTTCTCTAGTCCTGAGGCCTGTTGATGTGCCTTAAGAACTAGCCTGGAGATCTAGCAGTAGCCAATGGGTAATCAGTCCTACTGTTCAAATTCAAATTAGACCAATATACCTTTTTATTTAACTAACTTAAAAAAAGGTAGGACTAGTCTTAAAGAAAAAAGCTTGATAACTAATTAGTCTAATCAGTTTATGCATCCGGCCACTGAACTTCTCTGGTAGGCGCATTCATTATAGAATATGGTTGTTCTTTCAGAACCAAACTGTGTGTGAATCCTCTATTGTTTTACCCAAACCAGATTTAATCAGTAAAGTTAATTGCACACACAGCGCTAAATCAAACACTATCCACTAACCCTAAACTTAACCTTAGTATAGCGTTGCTAGAACACCCTGATGCAGTTGTAAATTTGTAAATAAAACAATTGGTGCACATTTTACAGGAAAATACTGTTTCAGCCTTTCTACTGAGAAAAAAAGCGTTTAACTCAATGTGTTGCTTGTTATGGAAGCTTGTTTCCGCCACTGAATAAAAAATAAAAAAGGTAATTGCGCCTTTTTATCTCACAATTCCGTGATATAAAGTCAGAATTGTGAGATATAAACTCGCAATTGCGAGATATAAAGTCAGAATTGGGTGATATAGTCAGAATTGAGAGGTATAAAGTCAGAATTGGGTGATATAGTCAGAATTGGGTGATATAGTCAGAATTGAGTGGTATAAAGTCAGAATTGGGTGATATAAAGTCAGAATTGAGTGGTATAAAGTCAGAATTGAGTGGTATAAAGTCAGATTTGAGTGGTATAAAGTCAGAATTGAGTGGTATAAAGTCAAAATTGCATGTAAAGTCAGAATTGCGAGAAAGAAACTCGCAATTAGGAGATATAAAGTCAGAATTCCGTGTAATAAAGTCAGAATTGCGAGTTTACGTCTCACAATTCTGACTTTATTACACGCAATTAGGAGTTATAAAGTCAGAATTGCGTGATATAAAGGCGCAATTGCATGAATTAAGGTCAGAATTGTGAGATCTAAACTCGTAATTGCGAGAAATAAACTCGCAATTAGGAGATATAAAGTCAGAATTGCATGTAAAGAATTAGATGTAAACTCGCAAATGTGAGATAAAAAGTCCCAATTATCTTTTCAAATGTTTTATTCTGTGGCGGAAACAAGCTTCCATAGCTTGTTTATTCTTTATAATTATTTGTGAAATTGACTTGAAAGTTCAAAGTTGATGCAAATGAATCCTACGCCAATTTGTTTACTGTCGATTACTGTTTCTCATGATCAGATCCATCTATTGTTTTTCCAAATGTTTTCTTGATTGAGTGCATATCATGCTCTAAACAGAATTGACAGCCATAGTCCCAGCAGATCTGCGGTGCGTTTCCCAAAGCCAACTATAGTCGCAAGTCCCGTCGTTACCAAGAGTTCAATGGAAATTGTGATCATAGTTGGCCAACGATGCTTTTGGGAAATGCACCCCAGAACGGTCTAGAGTTATTTAGCGAACACTAAAGCTGGACAGCTGAAGGAATCCACAGATGCTTCAACTTCTCAGCCAAATGTCTGAGCATGCAGTAAATGTCTGGATTTAGATGTATTTTAATGCCTGTCCTTAAGCATTATCAATGAAAGCTTTGCGGTTTCCAATGACAGAACTTTGGATAAGTGTGTGGGAACCATTTCACAAAAGCAATATCCATGTGTTGGCAACATGGTCTCTTTTAAAACCCAATGACATGTGACTTGGCCAAAGTAGGACATCTTCCTGAATCAACATCCTCTATTGGTACTGGAAAAACAATCTCAGTCCTAACATTATCCCACCAAACATCAAAATCACTGCGACGTTGTTGAAGCTCTTAAGTCTAAAATCTGATTGGTTGATAGGAATGTTGTTCTGGGACCGATAAGGATGTTGGACACTCCTCATCTTAAGAAACATGTTTACTGGGATTTATCCAAGACCAACATCTCTGTAGATGTAGATTAACCCTTCAACTCGGTCCATAGAGCAAATATTACATCAGAAATCAGGCTTTTGCTGGTGCTAGACATGCAGTTTGCATGCTTTATCATCACTGTACGAGAATATTTATTGATAGAGTAACAATTACTCTAAATATAATGTCCTTTCCTGAAATGTCAAGAAAAAAAAGATAACTTTGCACCATGTATTGAAATTAGGGATGCAACGATATGCAAATTTTGGCCGATATCGATAACCGATAACTGTTTATATTTGAAAGCCGATAACCGATATATTGGCCGATAAAACTACCGGTAAATCAAAATTTTTATATCATTTTTGAGAGCCTGATTACAAAAACAAAGTCTCACTGTTAAATCCATGTTCCAACCACACAATTATAATGTTCTCATTATAATTTTACGTAGCCGATATGACAGAACATGTTGCACTGAACTGTATTTTCCATTTTTGAAGTGATTCCAATCATATTTCAAGCAATTCAAGACCATCATGTTGAACAGTGCGCATCTGAAGAGTCTCAGCTGAAGGAAATAATACATTATTTATCGGCTTTAATATATCGGGCCGATCACGATAACATTAAAAGTTAACATATATCGGCCGATACCGATACGGTGGCCGATATATCTTGCATCCCTAATTAAAATACGCAGCATAGAAGTTAAATGCCCTTCATTCAGAAGTACAACAGTATGAGATTTTATATTTCACTGGATTAATAACAAAAGATGCTAAACTGTGTTTGTCGTGTTGTGATGAAGGAATCTGTTGGCTATTTACAAGACAACAAGTGAATGGGCAAATGAATCAACGCACCACTTTATGGGTTTAAAAATCATGAGAATACGTCAATATTCATTATGAGAAAGAAAAATAGTAGAAATGGATAAAAATGGCAGGAAAGCAAAATTGCACATCTATCCACTCTACTTCAGATCAGAATGAGGGAATTGAAAACACACAAGCTTAAGTCGCCAAATGAAATCATGTATAATGTGCTCTTGATCATTTGCTGCATGTGTTCATGGGAGATTGAATAACAGAGATGAAATGTGTGGATATACCTGGACACACCACAGAAAAAGGCCACGTTTACATTGCATCCGGATCATTTACTGCGAGAAGACTTAAAGGTGCAGCGTTACGTGCTTTTTGCGGCAAGACTCATTGGAAATGGATCTGATTTCTTTCTAAGATGTGGAAAGTCTTTGGTTACCGGGACAGTTGGGAATGTACACTGCACCTTCAAGTGCCTCGATGACGGGAATAAATGACCACGGATCAACTCATCGAGGTCTCATGATGAAGAAAGCCAGGAAAATCAGTCTATCGGTCACAGCAGAGGGAGGAGGTGGAGGGGGAGACAATAAATGGAAATCAGCAAGAAGCACACTGGAGGTTAGGAAAAATACTATATTCTTTATTGAAAAATATTAGTATATATGTGGATTTGTGTCATAATAATAATAATAAGTCCATGCAACAAATAAAACAACATTGACCAATAGCAAGGCCCACCATGCTCAGTACAGGGTTAACAGAACAAAAGCAACATCCAATGAGCAGATGCATCGGCTACAGCACATTACAGTACAGCAGGGTTCATCTTTACTACAGAAAGATTACATTGGAGTCTATTCAATGTAGAATCAAAATAATAATAATGTGATTCATGCACTCAAGTCTATTACCAGAACAAAAGGTAGAGAAACCACAACCAAACAATAGACATTTGCATTGCTCTAATAGAGGATCTCAGTAGCAGTGCAGGAAATCAACATCCCTGCCAAATGGATGGCATTTTGGACGCTGACAATTTGGACAATTTCGACGCAACGAGCCAATCGTTGGGGGTTGTTGTCTGTTGTTTTTTGCTTTTCCTCTAAATATGATTGTGAATGATTGTGTAAAATCAGAAGGCGATGAATGAAGCACACGATATGCAGGTGACTATGGAAGCTCGTTTACGCCACGGAATAAAAAAAAACAATTCTGACTATTCTCGCTATTGCAATTCGGCTTTATAAACTTATTGAAAACTATTTTTAAAAAGGTCAGCATCGCGAGATATCATGGAAGCTTGTTTCCGCCACAGAATAACATTTTTAATTCATTTAAATTTAATTATGGTGACTTTTTATCTTGCAATTCAATTGCGACAATGATATTAAGTCGGAATTGTGTGTAATAAAGTCAGAATTGTGAGATATTAAGTCGCAATTGGAAGTTATAAAGTCAGAATTGCGTGATATAAAGTCGCAATTGTGTAATAAAGTTAGGAATTGTGAGATATAACCTCGCAATTGTGAGAAATAAACTCGCAATTATGACTTTATAACACGCAATTGTGAGTTATAAAGTTAGAATTGCGTGATATAAAGCCACAATTGTGTGTAATAAAGTTAGGAATTGTGAGATATAAACTCGCAATTGTGTGAAATAAAGTTAGGAATTGTGAGATATAAACTCGCAATTGCGAGAAATAAACTAGCAATTCTGACTTTATAACACGCAATTTTAAGTTATAAAGTCAGAATTGCGTGATATAAAGTCGCAATTGTGTGTAATAAAATCAGACTTGTGAGATATAAACTCGCAATTGTGTGAAATAAAGTTAGGAATTGTGAGACATATAAACTCGCAATTGCGAGAAATAAACTAGCAATTCTGACTTTATAACAAGCAATTTTGAGTTATAAAGTCAGAATTGCTTGATATTAAGTCGTAATTGTGAGATATTAAGTCGCAATTGTGAGTTATAAAGGTAGAATTGCGTGATATAAAGCCACAATTGTGTGTAATAAAGTTAGGAATTGTGAGATATAAACTCGCAATTGTGTGAAATAAAGTTAGGAATTGTGAGATATAAACTCGCAATTGCGAGAAATAAACTAGCAATTCTGACTTTATAACACACAATTTTGAGTTATAAAGTCAGAATTGTGAGATATAAACTCGCAATTGCCTTTTTTTAATTCAGTGGCGGAAACGAGCTTCCGTACGATATAATGCGCAATTACCTTTTTTATTTTTATAGTCCGTGATGGAAACAAGCTTCCATAGGTGACAGCTATAGGTGTGTGGGTTTGGTGATCATCAAAGCACAAAATGCATCCATTTTACAGGAATTTACAAACATGTTGACTACCAAAGCTGGATGGGACATACATGAGTCACTCTTCTAGAGCTACTGATGTGGGTTAAACTACAGCACTTGACATACAGACAGTAGTTCACGCTCTAAATGTGTTAGCTCTGGTTTTAGTGTGTTTGTTCTCAGGAAGGGAGCAGATCTGAGATGTTTGTCGTCTTCTGATGGAAATAGGAAATGAGGAGGGATCAGAACACAGATGATCATTAAAACACAATGATCTGATAATGCAGAATGTAGATTCAGCCTCCATAGACTATGAGACAGGAGATAAGAACAGAAATAAAGCACATGAAATCAAACTATGAGACAGAAGATCAGAAACAGAAATCAAAAAAGCTTCATGAAATCAGTGATGGCGGTAAAGTTAGCAGCTCATTTCAACACAAGTTTCGTGCTTTTCCTCATTAGACAATCAGCACATCGGTGTGTAAATGATTCAGTTCATGAGGTGTATTAAAAATAATAAACTGCTTTAAACAAATCAGCTTTTGTTTGATGAAATGCAGATACTGGCACTCTGGGGCTTCAACACAAAATCTTACTTATTTAACTGAAATGAGCATTAAATCACTCTAACAAATTATTGAACTATGTTATTTGTTGTCCGTTAAGCTCAGGCCTGAATTAGCATCGTTAGCTTTCTGAGGTAAAACCAAACTCACAAATAAACCTCGACAAATACATACAGCGCTCAAGTACACGATAGAACGAGTAGAAAATCTATCAAATATACCAAATATCCCTCATATGAGCCAATCAATTGATTTTAAATGTATTTTAAAGTGAAATCTGAAGCTGAAAGCGTCCATAGGGTCAGCTAGCTAACGTTAACAGATTACCTCAGATCCGAATCAAACCTCACTGATTCGCTAAATAAATACCAAATCACCTGTTTATTTAATGAATATCCCCTCAGTATGGACCTACAGCAGGATATAGATCAGTCATGAGGTTTAATAGTCATGCATTAAACAATCAAAAGGCCATAGATGTGATCTTATCGTGAAATAATGTGTTTTAAATACCTCTATTTCTCACTGAGCCAAAGACAGGAAGAACCAAATATCCGACATGAACTAACACCATCCTTCAGATCGTCTGTTTGATGAATACAGAGTGTAAACGGATGAATAAATAATGTACATTCAGCGGGATCATATGCAGTCAGTCACCGCGAGGACAAAGAGTGGCGGCAGGGTTCGATTCGCCAACGAGTCGTTCTAATGAATCGGTTCGTCTTCATGATTCGATCGAACCGATCCACAAGGAGTTTGTATCTCTCAAATGAATCAGTGAATCACGTTCGATTGGAATGAGCCGTCCGAATGAATCGGACTGTCCGAAGCTCGAAAGCAGCAGATTGCAGTTGGAGCGATGACATAATCTGACCACTAGAGGCGCCACTGTCATCAGTAGGTGTGTTTACACTCATTTTCGCCAGTCTGATTGAATCCAATCCGATTTTAGATTCTGAAAGCTCTCTAATACGAACCGTAAACATTGCAATCCAATTCAGACATTCATTTTCATGAATTTCACACAAGAAAAACACCTAAATGCATGGATTATTTGGGTTCATGTAGCCATTGATGCTGTGAGGACAAAATTATTCAGATGATTAGTGTCAATAACCACACCACAGTTGGTCTAGCGAAGTTTTAATTGCAAAAAATCGTTTACAGATTCCCTGTACCATGTTTCACTGGTTCTCAATAGAACAGTCACCAATGAATTAAAACATAAGCAGAAAAAGCGTATGTGCAAAAAAATGCAGATTATGTACGATGTTACAAATAATACTGCTATTAAACAAAAAAGGCAAAAAAATGTATACAAGTGCTTTCATATTTACAGCGTGTGGCCTTACAATTTGCATTTAAAACAACAATAAAAAATATGCACAGACAGTCCAATGCCATAGACTCTTTGGTCATTCATATTTGGCCCATTCATCCTTTACTTTTTCTTATGTAAATTTGACACAAAAAAAACTTCATCAGACAGGCCTGTTCACAACACAAACGATAACTGTAGTTTTGAAAATTATTCTAAATGTAAAAGAATAGAGAGTCCACAGCACAACTATAACGATAATAACGACACAGAGGAACGATATCGTCGGAATCACTTTCACTTTCTTTTTCAGCTGATGAACAATAAAAACACTGACAGCCAATCAGAATCCATCCTGCTTTAACGAGCGCGAGGATTTAAAGCGAGAGACGAAAAACAGCAGCGCTTATAATAAACAGAATGATATTGTTGATAAAACGTAGTTATCATTATTGGTGTGAACAGGCCTTAAATATTACACATACACATGCAATAAACAGAAAAAGTGTCTTACAGTCAAGTGTACAATGCAAAACTGGTTTCATTTGACATCTGAAGATATGTTGGTTACCTCACTACTACTATTATCAGATGGAAATGTTGGTTCGGAGCGTTTGATGGATCGGGATGCAAAGGCTCAGATCTGAGAGGGTTAAAAAGGGCGTGTCATTCTGAAATCAAGAGGGAATACAGCAAACTGGACTCTGGGTCGTCTGACTCAAATGCTCAGAGTTTGATATTTTCTTAACTTTTAGTGGCATGACATTTCTTCATGTTGTTATGCCGTACCGTTCTCAATGTTCTATGACGCTACATAAACTAAAGTAGGAACCTGTAGTTGTACGTACACTCTTAAAAATAAAGGTTCAAGAACCAGAACATCCGTTGCACAAAAGCTTCTTTACAGTAAAAAAGATCTTTAGATTCTTAAAGTCCCCCTGTGGTGTAAATCCAGCGTTTAATGTTGTTTATGTGTCTATGTGTTGTGTTTAATACGCTTTAAGACACACCATGTGTAAGTTCATAAGTCGACAGCATTGCTGAGTATTTCCTGCTTAAAACTGCAGTGAACCAAAGACAGTCTCAAAAACACGGTTTGAAATCGCTGGTGTTTCTGACGTCACAAATGACCTTGTAACCAATCAGATCAACGTGTGATCGTCAACCAGTGGATCTCTGAGTGAGTGAGTGAGTGGAGGCGGGGCTCATTTGCATATTCATAGAACCGCGCATGGTCTTCTATTCGAAACCCTTCCCTTTTAAACCTTTATTTTTAAGAGTGTATAAATAATGTGGTCACATCAATAATCTAGGAAGAGTCACGTTACACCGTCACAGTTCAATAACCGTGAAGCGCATATATGTAGTCACTGCAGTATCAATATTGTTGCACTTCCGCTGTATTTATCGCACAGTCTGTGCTAAATGTCTCCACTGTTGGTTCCTGCATTATGAAAAATGACAAAGCCAACTTTTTTGCCCGTAGTATTATACAAGTGAATCTATTTCGGTGGAATGGTTGTGAAAAGGATTTGCATGTTACTGTAAACCTCCTTCGTTCCCCGCAGTGGTTTGGTCTCACTGTGCGCTGCCGTAGGGATTCGAGGAATCTGACGTTTCCCGGAGGATCGTGTGGGAATTCACCTCGTCTTTATTTGACACACACTTAGCGGTGAAGAGATCCGACACAAAGAACACCTGCGATGTGAAGGTGAAAAATGATTAAACTGCACGTCTATGCTGGTTTTATATTAAAGGGATAGTTCACCCAAAAATGAATATTAGCCCATGATTTACTCGCCCTCAAGTCATCCTAGGTGTATATGACACTCTTCTTTCAGACGAACACAATCAGAGTTATATTAAAAAATGTCCTGGCTCTTCCAAGCTTTATAATGGCAGTGAATGGCTGTTTCTGTTTTGAAGTCCATGGTATGGACTTCTTTTATGGACTTCAAAACAGAAACAGTCATTCACTGCCATTATAAAGCTTGGAAGAGCCAGGACATTTTTTAATAGAACTCTGATTGTGTTCGTCTGAAAGAAGAGTGTCATATACACCTAGGATGGCTTGAGGGTGAGTAAATCATGGGCTAATTAATGGCCGTACGGCACACGTTCATGAAATAACTTACAGTAAACAGCGCCACGACGGCTCCCTGTACGAGTCCGGTGAGGACGTCACTCCAGTGGTGTTTATAGTCCGAGACGCGGGAAAGACCCACATACAGAGAAGCGGCGATAAACGAGATCTGGAGAGTCGGCCGCACCAGTCGAGCCCATCTAGCCCTCAGTCTGGACTGCAGATACAGCTTCACAGAGGAAAACATACCGTATATTAGCATAGATTAAAACATATATATATTGACTTATATACATATATGGGTAACGCTTCCTTTTACAGTACAGTACTTTTATAATAGCAATTATAATTACTATAATAAGTACATAGTAAGTACATTGGTAACAGGACTGTAAAAGGAAGCGTTACCAATATAGGTCACTTAAGGCAAGACAATACTACAAACTAATAGATATTACCATACAACCCCAGATGATTAATCACTGTACATCAAGACAATTGTTTTGTATTACAAGTTTTCTGAAGTGTTGTTCAAATATGCAAATGAGGCATTATCTAAACAAGTTTATATCTCGCAATTCTGACTTTATTTCTCGCAATTGCAAGTTTATATCTCGCAATTCTGACTTTGTATCACGCAATTGCAAGTTTATATCCCACAATTCTGACTTTATAACACGCAAATGTGAGTTTATATCTCGCAATTGCAAGTTTATATCCCACAATTCTGACTTTATAACACGCAAATGTGAGTTTATATCTCGCAATTCTGACTTTATAACACGCAATTGCAAGTTTATATCTCGCAATCCTGACTTTATAACACGCAAATGTGAGTTTATATCTCGCAATTCTGACTTTATATCACGCAATTGCAAGTTTATATCTCACAATTCTGACTTTATAACACGCAAATGTGAGTTTATATCTCGCAATTCTGACTTTATAACACGCAAATGTGAGTTTATATCTCGCAATTCTGACTTTATAACACGCAATTGCAAGTTTATATCTCGCAATCCTGACTTTATAACACGCAAATGTGAGTTTATATCTCGCAATTCTGACTTTATATCACGCAATTGCAAGTTTATATCTCGCAATTCTGACTTTATAACACGCAAATGTGAGTTTATATCTCGCAATACTGACTTTATAACACGCAATTGCAAGTTTATATCTCGCAATCCTGACTTTATAACACGCAAATGTGAGTTTATATCTCGCAATTCTGACTTTATATCACGCAATTGCAAGTTTATATCTCACAATTCTGACTTTATAACACGCAAATGTGAGTTTATATCTCGCAATTCTGACTTTATAACACGCAATTGCAAGTTTATATCTCGCAATTCTGACTTTATAACACGCAATTGCAAGTTTATATCTCGCAATTCTGACTTTATATCACGCAATTGCAAGTTTATATCTCACAATTCTGACTTTATAACACACAAATGTGAGTTTATATCTCGCAATTCTGACTTTATAACACGCAATTGCAAGTTTATATCTCGCAATTCTGACTTTATAACACGCAATTGCAAGTTTATATCTCGCAATTCTGACTTTATAACACGCAATTGTAAGTTTATATCTCGCAATTCTGACTTTATAACACGCAATTGCAAGTTTATATCTCGCAATTCTGACTTTATAACACGCAATTGTAAGTTTATATCTCGCAATTCTGACTTTATAACACGCAATTGTAAGTTTATATCTCGCAATTCTGACTTTATAACACGCAATTGCAAGTTTATATCTCGCAATTCTGACTTTATTTCTCACAATTGCAAGTTTATATCTCGCAATTCTGACTTTATAACACGCAATTGTAAGTTTATATCTCGCAATTCTGACTTAATAACACGCAATTGTAAGTTTATATCTCGCAATTCTGACTTTATAACACGCAATTGCAAGTTTATATCTCGCAATTCTGACTTTATTTCTCGCAATTGCAAGTTTATATCTCGCAATTCTGACTTTATAACACGCAATTGCAAGTTTATATCTCGCAATTCTGACTTTATAACACGCAATTGCAAGTTTATATCTCGCAATTCTGACTTTATAACACGCAATTGCAAGTTTATATCTCGCAATTCTGACTTTATATCACGCAATTGCAAGTTTATATCTCGCAATTCTGACTTTATAACATGCAATTGCAAGTTTATATCTCGCAATTCTGACTTTATAACACGCAATTGCAAGTTTATATCTAACACGCAATTGCAAGTTTATATCTCGCAATTCTGACTTTATAACACGCAATTGCAAGTTTATATCTCGCAATTCTGACTTTATAACACGCAATTGCAAGTTTATATCTCGCAATTCTGACTTTATAACACGCAATTGTAAGTTTATATCTCGCAATTCTGACTTTATAACACGCAATTGCAAGTTTATATCTCGCAATTCTGACTTTATATCACGCAATTGCAAGTTTATATCTCACAATTCTGACTTTATATCACGCAATTGCAAGTTTATATCTCACAATTCTGACTTTATAACACGCAATTGTGAGAAACAAAGTCAGAATCGCAATTCCCTTTTTTATTTTTTATTCTGTGGCGGAGACTGTAAACAGACCAAATTTTTAAGAGTAGAATGTTGTATATATCAGGCGAACAATATATGAACAAACCTTCAGAATATAGATATGAATAAATCTGTAAAGTTTGGTGTGTGTAAAACTGCTGAAGTGATTTCTGACTCAAACTCACCGCCTTTAAAGACTGAAATCTACAGATAAGCGCAATGAAATAAAGACTTAAATGTGTATTTTGGATGTTTTCGTTTCACTGGTCTAAAAGAAGACATGTTATGGAAGTGCCAGCGGTTGGCTTGTAGTGTCTCACCTTAAATTTGATTACATATTCTCATAAGAACACACTTACAGCGAGGAACAGCATACAGTACATGGAGAACGATGAGTGACCAGAATAAAAGGAAAGCCTGTAAGTAGAAGATTGCACATCATTATTAGTAAATTGCATTATTTTATAGCCTTACTCAAACAATGCACTTGATAAAACAGTCATATTGCATGAGAACATCAGAAATGCAGTGAGATTGTCAGAGTTTCGCTCACCGGCCTTCATTGGTGACGCGTGGATCTCCAGTGCAGGTGAAGTTCTCAATGTAACCTGATGCACAGTCGACGAGGCTCCAGTCGGGTTTGCAGACGGTCAGAAAGTGAGGTCTCAGGCGGCCGATGGTGTATTTGGCGATGTCGGTCAGCGACTGGCTCAACGCCGCTCCGAACACGAAGGATCCCACGGCCTTGTACACACACACTATATATTCATAACTTAAAGAAGCTCTGGACCTCATATAGATCGAAGAACACTCGCCGAAGATGATCTGTGTGAAGAGAACAAGTGTCAAATGTATGGAAGTTTGACTTTATATCTCACAATTCAGACTTCATAACTCGCAACTGCCATCTCTGTAATTATGAGATTTAAACTGACAAACAGGGGGAAAGAAAATCTGAATTGTGAGATAAAAAGCCCCAGTTTCCTTTTTTATCATTTAATCTGAGGTGGAAGCAAGCTTTCATACAAATGACTCTAATTGAGCATGTTAATTTGTATTGTTTATTATTCAAATGAAGCAGTACTGGTTAAGAAAGCAATCGAAGACTTACTAATGAGTCGAGGGTGTCGAGTTACATTCAAGCTATTTTAAACCCAAAAATGAAAATTAGCCCATGATTTACTCACCCTGAAGTCATCCTAGGTGTATATGACATTCGTATATGTTGAGTTCTAGTGTTGCTCTTTGGCGTAAATCGAAGCGTAGGCCGTATGCTGGAAGATTGTTATTTTAGTCGATAATGTTTTAACTACACAAACGCATCGCTTCAGAAAGCCTTTATTAACCCGCCGGAGCCTGTGGATCACTTTTATGATGGATAGATGCACTTTTATGATGAAAAGATGCACTTTTATGATGGAAAGATGCACTTTTATGATGGATATGATGGAAAGATGCACTTTTATGATGGATATGATGGAAAGATGCACTTTTATGATGGATATGATGGAAAGATGCACTTTTATGATGGAAAGATGCACTTATGATGGATAGATGCACTTTTATGATGGATAGATGCAAAGTTTATGATGGATAGATGCACTTTTATGATGGATATGATGGATAGATGCACTTTTATGATGGATATGATGGATAGATGCACTTTTATGATGGATACGATGGAAAGATGCACTTTTATGATGGATATGATGCTTTATGATGGATGGATGCACTTTTATGATGGATATGATGGACAGATGCACTTTTGGACTTCAAAAAAATGGTGCCCATTCACTCCAATTATAAAGCTTGGAAGAGCCAGGACATTTTTAATATAACTCTGATTGTGTTCGTCTGATCGAAGAGTGTCATATACACCTAGGATGGCTTCAGGGTGAGTAAATCATGGGCTAATTTTCATTTTTGGGTGAACTATCCCTTTAAGGCATGATGAATTTTATTTTTTAGGAAAAAACGTTTAAATATGTCATTCTGGTGATCAAAGATGAGTTTTAAGGGATAGAATTATTGACTACGGGGGACTTTAAATGTTGTCACTATTCAGAATTCATAACTCTGTTTAAAAAAAGCTGTAATTGTGAGATTTAAACACAGTTGCAAGGGGAAAGAAAATCTGAATTGTGAGATAAAAGATAAAAGCAAGCGTTCATACACATGACTCTAATTGAGCATGTTTATTATATTATTGTATGAAGTTTATTGATGTGGCAAATGAAGCTCTACTGGTTAAGAAAGCAGTCGAAGGCTCACCAGCAGCAGTGCGAAGGGAATTATTATTCCCATCAGTAACTGGTAAGATATGGTGTCTTCTTTGAAAGGGTACTTGATGGTGTCGTCGCTGCAAAAAAACCCTCTTTTGAACGGCGTGTGCCGAATGTTCAAGACCGCGAATGGCAGTCCAGCTGCAAAAGAAGAACGTCTCACATTTACAGGCACGTTTACAGTCTAACCGAAAATTATTCAGACACCAGATATGATTTTTGATATTGTTCCACTAGTGTGATCAGGACACTATAGTTCATTTCTGTAAGTGAGGAGAGCAGAATAAAGTAAACTGACATATTACACCCAAATATTCTTCATCCAGTGACTACCAGTAACAATGATTCCTCCACTTTGAGCTGATCATGTTTTGCTGAAGTGTGTTTTCTGTAATTGCTAATGCTCTTTTTACACACACACTGAACAACATGAAGCATTGCTTGGTCACTGGTTGAGCTAAACTGGTATTATCTAATTGTGGAGTTCAATTTAACAGCTGACAGATATTCAACATAATTCATGTGTGAGAGTCTAACAGAAGGACGGACAAAACCAGTCAAATATCCACTGAGTTCTCGTCATATTTCATCACCATTTTAAATTATAGTGAATAAACTGTGATAGGAGAAATGTTGAAGGTCTCTTAATATATTTTGGTTTGACTGTGTATCACCGTTCCAGCTGAAACATGGCATAGAAGAAACATTGGTGAATTTTATGTTAGATGTACATGTACACAGTAAAAAACCGTTGGGTTGCGCATATTGGGTCATTATGTTGGGTTATTTTCCAAAAATGTTGGGTAATTTTAAACATCGTTGGGTAATTTTTCTTAAGAGGAACAGAGTGTTTCAGTGCACATTCAGCTTGATAATCAAATGACTTCGCATGATTTAAATCAAGTGTTCAACAATAGAGGTTAAACAAAGGCTCTGTATTCTGTCTCGCCAGACTCTTATTATTCTAGCATTCGGCATCCAATCCAGGCTGTGGCCATTCACTTTCACTGGGAATCACAGTCTCCTGCCCACAAACATTCTATGCATTTCTATTCAAGATCTAATAATGCATTTAACATTGAGCTAATAGTGAAGTGGCTGTAAGCTAACAAAAATATGTGACCCTGGAACACAAAACCACGGGTGTATCTGTGGCAATAGCCAACAATACACTGTATGGGTCAAAATTATCGATTTTTATTTTATGCCAAAAATCATTAGGATATTAAGTAAAGATCATGTTCCATGAAGATAATTTCGTACCGTAAATATATCCAAAAAATATTTTTGTGAGTGGATGCAGCGACATCAAGGACTTCATTTGGAGAACTTTAAAGGCTATTTTTTGCACCCTCAGATTCCAGATTTTCAATAGTTGTATCTTGGCCAAATATTGTCATAACAAATCATTCATAAATGGAAAGCTTATTTATTCCGCATTCAGATGATATATACATCTCAATTTTAAAAAATGTACCCTTATGACTGGCTTTGTGGTCCAGGGTCACACTCGTTCTAAAACATTTAGCTAACGTTTCCATTATGTTCTGAAAACGTTACTTCTAAATGTTCAAAACGTCCAACAGTTTTGGTGATGCGAACGTTCTATTGTATCATTCTTCAAACATTATGCGAACGTTACTTTTAAATGTTCTCTGAACGTTCTGAAGCAAGTAGTAACTTTCAGACTTAAGCCGCGTTTCCACCGCAGGAACTTTACCCAGGAACTAGGAACTTTGGCCTGGTACTCGGTGTGTTTACACCGCAGGAACCAGGGTCTAAATGAAGTTCCGGGTAGATATTTCCCCCTCCGAAAGTCCCTGCTCGCGAGGTAGTACTTTTTCAAAGTTCAGGAACTTTCGCGGGTGGGGCTTGTGCGCTGAACATGCTGATTGGTTGTGTTCACGCCGCATTATGATTGGATAACTCCGCGCAGCATTTTATTTTAACCGGAATTTTTAGAATCTATTGCAGTTCGTGGCTTCATGCAGTAATGAAGTTCCATGCAGTAAGAGTTGTCTGTCTGCAAATATGGAATTTAATAAAAATAAAAAAGGCAGCTGGACCGACGACGAGATTCAGGCTTTATTAAGCGTATTTGCGGAAGAGAAATTTTCTGCGCGTTCGTCCCAGCCTTCTCACGGTCAATGTCCGCAATAGCTGATAACATACGCTGTCTAATTTTAGATCTAACGTTAGCATTACGAGCTTTCTGAACACGCTTTAGTATCAGTGCTCGTCTCTTTTCTGCCGTTTTGTTAATTACCTGGTTAGTAAACCAATACATCTCAAACAACTGCAGCACAGTGTGAATCTCTTCCATATTTATTATAAATGTGGCGCTCAAAACTGATTACTGTCTTTTACAGTCTACTGTCCGTCACAAGCAAGCAATGAGCAGTCGCGCGCAGTTTACCCGGTACTTTAGACCGCGATGTAAACGCAGAAAGCTACCGGTCTGGGGCAAAAAAAGTTCCTGGGAAAAAAGTTCCTGGGACAAATTGTTCCGGGCAATTGCGGTGGAAACGCGGCTTTAGTAACTAAGTAGTAACTTAACGTTTTATAAACGTTAGATGAATAAAACATTTAAGACAAAAACGTTCCATGAACGATGTATAAATAATGTTTTTGTGCTAATGTTGTGAGAATATTATTAAGACCAGATAGAACTACTAACGTTACTGGAAGAACGTTTGTTTCTTTTTCCAGAACGTTAGCTAAATGTTACTGTGCTTTTACTAAACGTGTATGAATGCAAACGCAACTTATCTGTGAACACTTACTCTTATCTCACCTGATAAAAGAACTATATCTCTATACAAACGTCTGCACTTTTCTGAGTATAATAATGAGATGTTGTATTTCATCACATACGTTAGTGTAAATATAATCTGTGGATTGAGAGTGACGTGTGTATATGTTGAGTATGAATATGCTTGTTTGTATATTGTAAAGCTTCACTAAGCTGCAACATTGTATCGGTTTTCAACAGATCTACAGGAATCTGAAACAATGCATTAAATAACGCCGATCAAATGAAGAAAATAATCAGCTACGGCACATTAAAGAGGCGAACCGAGGCCAGAGGAGTGTGTGTGTGTGTGTGTGTGTGTGTGTGAACTCTTACCGAGCAGCAGACAGCTGACGTCCACACTAATGCTCCAGAATCCTTTAGTCTCGAACATTCTCGGTTCCGCAAAAACACCGGAGTCTTTGAAGAACTTACAGTTGAACATTAATCTTCATCAGATAAAACGATAAAGGATGTGCGACGCTATTTCACTTATTAACGGAAACACATTAGTTAAGATGTAGATAATCTGATCATCGAGCGAGAAAAAAACACCCGGCTGGGTTTTCCGTTCCTGTCGTTATTAACGAGCGTGAATCTCGAGAATTTTATGGAAGTGTTCCGATGTTTGTCAGTTACAATACATCCACATCTCCGGTTACTTCATATCGCACGATGATGAGGTCAATCCCTCCACCTGTCAATCATCTACACGCCCCGCCCACCGCTTCCTCTTCCTCAGTCTCTCGCTGATGCTTCCAACCGAGAAGAGCTTCTGCATTCTCATTCACTACACTCAAAATACTGTTTGAAGTATGAAGTGATATATATGCATTTATCATTTTTTTCCGATGTACAGATCTACAACATTGTAGCGAGTTCGCGGGACAGTGAAACACGTGTTACACACATAACGCAGATCAAATAAAAACAAAACATAAGCTATAAGACAAGTTAAATGGCCAAATAGAGGTTATATCTCTATATAATCACGTCAAGTTTATTTAAATGGCGCTTTATGCAACACAGATTGTTTCATAGCAGCTTCGCATTAATAAAAAGGGAAATAATAATAACAGAATCAATTTAGCAAACTTCAGTTCATTTTTTTTTAAAAATGTGAATGAGGGAACATAAGGCAATTTTTTCTATATCATTTTGCAAATATTATACTTTTGAATAGCTAACTAAATTGTTTCCAAAAAAAAAAAGTTCCATGACTGAACAACATTTGTGCTGATGTTTTGAAAACATTATTAAAGACCAGATAACTTTGAATGAACGTATTTTACCGCACAACACACACTCAGACTCCGTGTTGTTCTGCAGGACTCTCTCTCACACACACACACTCAGTGTTCTTCCGGCCGCAGGACTCACACACACACACACACACACACTCAGTGTTGTTCCGGCCGCAGGACTCTCTCACACACACACACACACACACACACACACACACACACACACACACACACACACACACACACACACACACACACACACACACACACACACACACACACACACACACAGTGTTGTTCTGCAGGACTCACACACACACACACACAAACACTCAGTGTTGTTCCGACCGCAGGACTAACACACACACACACACACACACACAAACAGTGTTGTTCCGACCGCAGGACTCACACACACACACACTCAGTGTTGTTCTGCAGGACTCTCACTCTCACACACACACACACACACACAGTGTTGTTCTGCAGGACTCACACACACACACACACAGTGTTGTTCTGCAGGACTCACACACACACACACACACACACTGTTTCAGCTAGAAAAATAAGTACTTCCTGTTCAAATATATGTGACGAGTCACAATAAATGCACACATTAGTGCAGTCACACACTTGAGTATTTAATGAACACACACTGACAGCAGGAACACAGTGATGTGAAGAGGGAATGTTAGCACTCCTTATGTAACGCTACATGTTTTTAATTAATACACAGAACATAAAGATCTCAAGAGAGAGAGAGACTTTTTAGAAAGCATGAAAACAGATGATAAACAATCAAAACAAAGAGACTTGAACTGGCCATCCGTGACACTTCCAACACAACTAGTGTTATAATGTGTGTGAAGAACAGGCGTGTTTTATTCCCGAACACTCAGCCGGAAACAGATGCTCGTATATAATGTGCGTTTGAACATGTGGATCCCGGAGGGAGCGTGACGAGGACGCCTCACGATCCGATCATGTCGTAGACGTAGATGTGATAGTCGTCGTCGAACTTGATGAAGTAGACGGAGGGTTTGGCCTGAACCTGCTGGATGATCGTCCCCATCCTCTGCGTGCCCTCGGCGTTCTGGCACTCCACCTGCTTCCCCACCAGCGACTCGCTGACCTCTCCCGGCTCCCGGACCTCAGCCGGATCCTCTGAACACGGACACCAGCGGTAATCACCACACCAGTTATTCATAAACAAGCTTGCAATGAACATCAAATATGTTACAATAACTGATACGGTGGTTTTTGTCTGTGATTCTTACGGAAGAGGATTAGAGCCAAGCAATAATAAAAAAATAAAACCATATCGAGAATAAAGTCGTTGTGTTTCGAGAAAAACTCGTTAAATTTCGAGAAAAAAGTCGAAATAATCATGAGAATAAACTCATTAAATTTAGAGAATAAACACGACTTTATTCTCGAAATTTAATGAGTTTATTCTTAAAGGTGCCCTAGAATGTTTTTTTTATTATTTTATAATGTTTCCTGGGTTACCCTTATAATGTTAGTATGTTTTTTAGATAAAAAATAATCATAATTTAGAAATAAATGGCATTTTTCCTAGCCTGCTTTTAGCCTCTGATTTGAACACTCTGTTTGAAGGGGCGTGTCTCTGTGGGATTCAGTGTAACCGCGGCCACTGCTGTGATTGGCTGTGGGATTCAGTGTAACCGCGGCCACTGCTGTGATTGGCTGACATCCTTGCATATGAAATAGCTACTCATTACATGTGAAACTCTCTCCCGAATACTTTTACTACTGCTATTAGACGTTTTTACTATAACAGCTATCGAGATTAACGAATCGTGAGATGTTTTTAAAGTATTTAGATCTATTCCCATCACATAAAATGTTGCCGTGATGAGCATTGAGCAGATGACAGTGTGTTGATCGCGAGAATGAAGATCTTATCATTGCAAAGCAGTTTCTGCACTCTCTCTGCTTTCACCAATGCAAACACGATGATGTAAATACAGTAAGAGCTTCGTTGTGCAGGAACGTGCGTCATTGAATTCATAACGAGTTTGGCAAGTGTCCAGATAAACTCGCGCTGTGTGGAAAGATTGTTCTTTGATCGCTTTCTGTATATAATTTGTCAACATGACATCATGACTTTGCGTAAACATACACGCCACTTTCAATTCAAGTGGCGTGTTATCTATACGCATTTTGAGCTATCCGCGTGTATGTCCACGCCGAAATCTTTTGCGTGTATGTCTACGCCATTAAACGTCCGAGTGATTCCGCGTGTATGTGTACGCCGTTAAATGTCCGAGCGAAACGAAGCAAAATCTATATTCTACATCTGTGGAGCGATATTTCTTTTCCTAGGATGGTAGGAGAAGACTCATAAATGGTATTAACCCCAGTGACGGGTAGGTTTAGGGACGGGGTTGGGGTAGGTCATATATTTATATGTACATAATACAGTAATATAACGTTAAGTCAAAGGCGTTGATAAACACGCTGAAAAGCGATTATGCGTGTTGATAGCACGCCAAAAATGGAAATACGAATTGGCGTGTCATACATACGCCATTTCATGAGATCAGTCTGAATTTGTTCACAATTTAAATACGATTATTTTCATCCTACTAAAAGAAACGATGTGAAGCTGATATTTTAGTCACTGGCTTGACTTACTGATGCATAAACAGTATTGAACGATTTTGAGAGAAAGATTACCTGTCTGAACTTGAACAATTACTCTTCAGAAAGTGTTGCTTGGTAGCTCGATCCGAGGCCAGCTCTGTATTGGCCCAAGTTGAGGAAACAGTCGGTGAAATGTTTGGAAATTTCCAGAGAAAATAAAATTAACCCATTGTTTCTTCAGAGGCTCAGATGAAGGAACTAAAAAATACTTTTGTGTTCATGTGTACATCCACACTGAGCAACTGCCATGCGTCGGCTGCGCAGTTCCGCCTGGCATTGAGGGCTGGCATTATACAAATATTTGGAGGCGTACATATTAATGATCCCGACTATTGCGTCACAGTCGGTATTGTGTGGAGAACCGACCGTTTTTCAGGGGTGTTTTTCATAAACGTGAATTAAATGAGAACGCGAAAACAGTCCAGTTTGAGATTCACTCTGTCATGTCCATGCACTGAACTCTTGTTATTTGACTATACCAAGGTAAATTCAATTTTGAATTATAGGTCACCTTTAAGATTGTATTTCGACTTTTTTTTCTCGAAATTTAACGAGTTTTTTCTCGAAACACAACGACTTTATTCTCGATATGTAATGAGTTTATTCTCAAGATTGTATTTTGATTTTTTTTTCAAAATTTAACGAGTTTTTTCTTGAAACACAACGACTTTATTCTCGATATGTAATGAGTTTATTCTCAAGATTGTATTTTGATTTTTTTTTCAAAATTTAATGAGTTTTTTCTCGAAACACAACGACTTTATTCTCGAAATGTAATGAGTTTACTCTCAAGATTGTATTTAGACTTTTTTCTCAAAATTTAACGAGTTTTTTCTCGAAACACGACGACTTTATTCTCGAAATGTAATGAGTTTACTCTCAAGATTGTATTTAGACTTTTTTTTCTCAAAATTTAACGAGTTTTTTCTCGAAACACAACAACTTTATTCTCGAAATGTAAGGAGTTTACTCTCCAGATTGTATTTCGACTTTTTTTTCTCGAAATTTAACGAGTTTTTTCTCGAAACACAACGACTTTATTCTCGATATGTAATGAGTTTATTCTCAAGATTGTATTTTGATTTTTTTTTCAAAATTTAATGAGTTTTTTCTCGAAACACAACGACTTTATTCTCGAAATGTAATGAGTTTACTCTCAAGATTGTATTTCGACTTTTTTCTCAAAATTTAACGAGTTTTTTCTCGAAACACGACGACTTTATTCTCGAAATGTAATGAGTTTACTCTCAAGATTGTATTTAGACTTTTTTTTCTCAAAATTTAACGAGTTTTTTCTCGAAACACAACAACTTTATTCTCGAAATGTAATGAGTTTACTCTCAAGATTGTATTTCGACTTTTTTTTCTCGAAATTTAACGAGTTTTTTCTCGAAACACAACGACTTTATTCTCGAAATGTAATGAGTTTATTCTCAAGATTGTATTTCGACTTTTTTTTCTAGAAATTTAACGAGTTTTTTCTCGAAACACACCGACTTTATTCTCGATATTTAATGAGATTATTCTCAAGATTGTATTTAGACTATTTTCTCGAAATTTAACAAATTTTTTTCTTGAAACACAACGACTTTATTCTCGATATTTAATGAGTTTATTCTCAAGATTGTATTTCGACTTTTTTTTCTCGAAATTTAACGAGTTTTTTCTCGAAACACAACGAGTTTATTCTCGAAATGTAATGAGTTTATTCTCAAGATTGTATTTCGACTTTTTTTTCTCGAAATTTAACGAGTTTTTTCTCGAAACACAACGACTTTATTCTCGATATTTAATGAGTTCATTCTCAAGATTGTATTTCCACTTTTTTCTCGAAATTTAACAAGTTTTTACTCGAAACACAACGACTTTATTCTCGAAATGTAATGAGTTTATTCTCAAGATTGTATTTCGACTTTTTCTCGAAATTTAAAGAGTTTTTTCTCG